AGCTGTTCATACCTCACAGAACAGCCCCGTGCTTAGAGCATAGCATTAAGCATTGGATACGTATAAATTCTTTTCCTGCAATCTTGAATTTCCCATGTTTTACACCTAGTTATATTACTAAACTTCGCTCCTTACCTTCCTTCTTGTTTTCTGCACGTGTTTCACTAGAGTGTCCTTTCACCTGGCAACTATAGTTCCCCCGAAATCAGGCCCAGCGTTGGGTGCCACATGTGCTGAGCCAGCTCAGCCAAGGGTTCGAAAGCCTGAGTGAGGGTGGTGAAAGGATGAAGAAATAACAGACAAAGAGAATAAGCTGGGTCTAGGTGGATCTTCCTGTGCCTGGCTGAGGCCACAGAGACAGATCCAGAGGCAAGCTAAGCCTTTATTTTATAGCCAGAGGTACACAAGGTAGTGGTCACCATAGTTACAAAGTTCTTGTGAGTTTCACTTGTTTGGGCAGCACTTGCTGCTCCTCCCACAGCCCATTAGCTACCTAGGAAAGATCTAGGGAGCGTCATAAGGTCAAGCCTAATTATGCTAAGAGGACTGTGCCCTCTAAGCTGGTACTTGTTTGTGGCTTTGCCAATAGGTCAGTCCGAGGCTTAACCCTATAGCTGCGCCCTACACCCTAACATCACTGGCAGTTGGTCAGAGTAGAAGGGAAGCAATAAGGGCGCCTCTGCATCCCTGCAGAACTCCCACGCACTCTGGGCCGCAATGAGTGGGAGGGCCTTAAAGCCTATGGCCCTGGGTAGAGCCACTGCAGGTAAGGGATTCACCTAACTCAGCAGATACTGCAGGCAGGCCTGATGGCAGCTGGATGGCTTGGCTTCATTAAGATTCAATCATGAAATTCCGGCAAAGGTAGTCAGTTACCATTCTTGTTGTGTTCATGCAAACAATCAGGCCAAATTGAATACAATAAAAAAAATTGGTCTTAATTTGGCTCTTTTGATAAACATAGAGGTAATTTTGAGGAGAAAAATTCTATTTCAGTAGATATTATTAAAACTGAAATGTTTTCTTTCCCTTCCACCGGACCATTTGTTACAGTTTGTCTCTTGCCAGGTCACAAGCCCACCTCCTTCTGTGCCCAGGCCTCATCATCCCTCTGACAGACAGCAAGGATCTCTTGGCTCTGAGAGAAAACTCCGTCCCTCCTCAGCACGAAGCAGCTACAGAAGAAATTCAACGTCCATTTTCCCTAAAAGAATTCAGAGCCAGGATCCTTGAAGTAATATATTAGGCAGTTAGACAGACATGAGCAGAGCAAGGACGATGGGCCAACTAGCGCTACCAGATTAACTAAGTATTTCTACCTCTGGGTATGTAAGACAAGGGGCATAGCCAAAGAGGTACTCACCCAGTCTCAGCCCCTAGAAAAGGTTGGTAGACTATTTGTCCAAAAGACTTGACCCCTTTGCATTTGGGTGACCTACTTGCCTCTGGGCGGTAGCAGCCACAGCTATGCTTATCAAAAAAGCAAATAAGTTAACCCTCGGGCAGGAACTAATCCTAACTGCCCCACAGGAGGTTGAGGCTTTACTCCGGAACACATTGGAGTGCTAAATGTCAAATGCTCGAGTCACCCAGTTTCAGGCTCTTCTACTCGACCAGCCCCACATCTGGTTCCACAAGACTCCTGCTATCAACCCTGCCAGCATCCTCCCAGGCGATGACTCTGAAGAACCGCTGTATGACTGTTCAGAGGTCGCTGACTTAGTACAGCCCGCCTGGGCCTCACTGACACCTCACTGGCATCACTGGACAAGGTACTGTTCATGGATGGGAGTAGTTTTGTCCAGGAAGGAATCAGGTATGTGGGGGCTTAGACCGAACCATCTGATCTCAGGCACTCACTCGCGGGACCTCGGCACAGAAGGCCAAGTTAATTGCCCTTATTCAGGCTCTCCGATGGGCAAAAGAAAAATCAGTAACAATTTATACAGGTAGCAGGTACTCATTTGCAATGGCTCACGTACATAGTGCTATTTACAAGGTCAGGGGACTCCACAGAAGCAAGAGGGAACCAGGCAACAGACTACGCAGCCTGGGAGGCTGCCCTAAAACCAGTGGGGCCTCTACAGATTCTAGTGATTTTTCCAAACCCTGACCTACCCACCTCACCAGCTTACATGGAAACCCAATCTAGAAAAGCTGAAATCCATAACCAATCTTTACCCAAGTTCTTACAGTCCACCCCGAAAGCAGTCCAGGAGCACGTCCGAGACACGCTGCCTGAACCAACTTCTGATCTGGTCCGTCCCTTCCAACCTGGTGACTCTCTTTAGATAAAGAAATTTGCCACCCAAGGACTGACTCCTACCTGGAAAGGACCACCCCCATGGCAGTCAAGGTCGATGGGATCCTGATGTGGCTTCATCACACCCGGCTTAAGACAGCCAGGCAAAATAGAGAGTCCAGGACTCTTTGGACCCTCTAGAGCAGCAGTTCTCAACCTGTGGGTTGTGACCCCTTTGGGTGTTGAATGACCCTTTTACGGGGTCGCCTAAATACATCCTGCATATCAGATATTTACATTACGATTCATAACAGTAGCAAAATTACAGTTATGAAGTAGCAACAAAAATAATTTTATGGTTGGGGGTCACCGCAACATGAGGAACTGTATTAAAGGGTCGCGGCATTAGGAAGGTTGAGACCACTGCTCTAGAGATTATTTCTGGCCCTCATTCTGGTCCCTTATCTTATAAACAGGCCCACTGACTTTATTCAGCAGAGAATTAATTTTATTAAGCTTATAATCCTCAAGGGTCAATATAACTCCCTCCCCAACAATGATACAAAAGAGTCAATGATTTGACTCATGTACATAAAACCGGTGGGGAATGAAGCATCCATCTTATGTAAAAACTGGTGTTTGAACTTTTAACCCTGCTATTTCTGGCTTCTGTAAATGCTTGCTGGCTTAAATAATAAGGAAAATAAGACTACTCCCATTTCAGAGAGGCCATTAAACCTTCTCCAAAGTTATCAGTGCTGGCACCTGGCCAAGCCTTTGGTTGAGGTCTCAAAGCCCCAGCACATAGGGCCCTTTAAGAACTTGCAAAGGGGACCGGAAAAACCCCATATTTGGGAGACAAAAAAAGGTAAAATGGTAAAAATACAGGAAACTTCCTGTGTGATTTTGCCCAGAATTTGAGAGACATTTTCCTCTGGGCCCGCGCATAATAATAATAATAAATGTAACTCCATCTCTCTAAGCGTTGCTTGGTTCTTTTCCGGTTTTCTGTAACACTTGGAAAACAAAACCCTCAAGGTCTGGGCTGATAGAAGTCAGAGACTGGAAACTGTCCCCAGAAGGACAGGGCTGTGATGACAGCAGGCAGGGTTGGGGGTGGGGAGGGGCACCTGGAGGACCAGAGTGGGGTGCAGACACATGGGGAGACTGGCTTGGATGAGGGGTGTGGAGAGTTTGGGGAGCACTGGATGGGGTGAGCGTGGACCCCATCCCTGAACCAGGGGCCTGCGGGACTGCAGTAGCCTCACACCTATGAGGTCAGCCCTGCCAGGACATGGCTACCATTCTCACTCCCATCACAGAGCTGGAGAACAGGGCAGGGAGGTTGTTTGGTGCCCAAGGACATGCAGGTGGGACGGGATGAGTTGGACTTGGAGCCCAGGCCCCCCTCGGACCAGCACCCACAGCAGCCTCTGGAAAGATCTGATCGCTCTGACTTGAGTCTGGAGGCCAGGGAGATGCAGCCAAAGCCCAAACCGGCCTGGCTGGGCACCCAGGCCTCGGCTCCAACAGGCAGGGCTCCAGGCTTTCCTGAATGAAGCACAGGAGTGTGTCTCCTCAACAGACTCCGGCCGCCTCCCATGGTCCCACTCTCCCCGCCCACCACATCTGTGCAGCCCCTATGAGGGCCCAGGGATCCTGGCCGGCACAGCGGGAGGACACCAGGCTGCTCACTCCACCAGACTTCAGATGGGTGGGCAGCAGGTTGGGGGGCCCGAGAGAGTGACCAAGGGAGATGCCCCAGCGCTCCACCTCCCACCGTGCAAACGCGGGCAGCACATAAGCCCTGTCAGGATCAGCCCCAGTGGACAGCTTTATTCCGATTTCAGGGAGGCAGCAGGACCCAGCAGGTATACACCCCACCCCAATGCCCAGGTATACCAGGCTCTGGACACAGCAGGTGGGCAGCCTCATCCCAGGGTTGCTGGGGTCCAGCCCCAGTAGGTCCAGGGGTCCCCAAAGGTGTGGACGGAGTCGGCGAAGAAGGAATGACACAGAAACAGCGTTCAGTTGATCAGCAGCCTAGCCAGGATCTCTAGCCAAGTTCTGGTCAGGATCTCCAGCGAAGTTCTGGTTAGGATCTCCAGCCAGGTTCTGTGTCCATGTTCTCTTGCTAGGTTCTCCAGCCAGGTTCTCCAGGTTCTCCAGCCAGGTTCTGTAGCCATGTTCCCTCACTAGGTTCTCCAGCCAGGTTCTGTCCAGGTTCTCCAGCCAGGTTCAGTCACCAGGTTCTAGCCAGGTTCTCTTGCCATGTTCTATCCAGGTTCTGTAGCCAGGTTCTGTCCAGGTTCTCCTACCAGGTTCTCTCGCTAGGTTCTGTCTCTAGGTTCTGTGGCCAGTTTCTGTTCAGGATCTTTTGCCATGTTCTCTCCAGCGAAGTTCTTCTGTCTCTAGGTTCTGTGTAGGTTCTGTGTCTAGGTTTTGTGTGTAGGTTCTGTCTTCTAAGTTCTGTGTCTAGGTTCTGTGTCCTGTTGTCTTGTTACATCTGTATTTATACCAGTTGATTTCAATCCTATCAATCTCTATTCCAAAGGTTAGGGTGTTTCTTATCTTCATTCCAGGGAGTAAAGATTATGTAGCTTAAGCATGATTGTCCGTAGTTAAAGTGATTAATTACCCGCCTGGCAGTTAAGGGGTTTTATTCCCTCCCTAACTTCAGGGGAAAATCCCTACCTGGGGAAACAACCTTTCTCAGAGAGGTGACCTTGGTTAAAACACATAGTGCCAAGAAGGTGAGCAAACATATTAAGAACAGTATGTTGGGTTGGTGGTATAGTGGTTAGCATAGCTGCCTTCCAAGAACAGTATGCCATATATGCCAGGTCCCTTGAAACAGCAAGGATGGACCGGCTCCCGGCACAGGGTCCCCGGGTGGCCTTGCTCAGGCCTCAGTTCTTTTGTCCTTGCCCCTGTCTGTCTTCCGTCTCAGGGGTGGGGTTTTTACCTTCCAGGCTCCATGCCTGGGTCATCCCTGCCCAGCAGGCCTCTTGGAGAGTGTCCACACCCATCGTGAGTTCAGGGCCCATCCTGTGGCTCTTCACTACTAGTCACAGTCCCTCTCCCCTCCCCAGTAGGCAGCACCTCCCGGAGAGCCCTGGATCTGGTCCCCACACGCCTGTGTCATCTCCTAGGCCACAGTCACACACAGAGAGTCCTGGCTCTTGTGAGCCTTGGCAGTGGGAGTCCCGGCTAATGCAGACGCCTCCTGGAACTCCTTGGCCATGTAGTAGTAGCAGATGGCATCCAGGCAGCAATTGGAATCCGAGACCATGCCAGTAATGTAGAGGATGTCCTGAATGACACAGGTGTTCAGGCCTGTGGCCAATCGCCACGTCAGCACCACGTGCAAGGGCAGGAAGCAGACCACGAACACCACCAGGTTTGCCCAGACCATGCAGGCAGCCTTCCGGGTTGCCTGGCCCATGTCGGCAGCTGGCCTCTGGCCCAGGGCAGTCACCACCTGCAGAGAGCAGAAGACCAGCACGGCCAGCGGCAGGTAGAAGCCCAACAGGGAGAAGACCACGGTTTGGGGCTTTTGCCGGGACGGGTTCCCAAAGCAGAAGCCACCCTCTTGGTCCTTCAGGACCCAGCGAAGCAGCAGGGAGCCGACCACCAGCACCCAGAGCACTGCACACACGGCCCCGGCCTGCTTCGGGGAGCGGAGCCCGCGGCCACACAGCGGGTGCCGCACAGCCACGTAGCGGTCCACAGCGATGGCCATGATCAGGCTGATGCTCATGTACCTGTTGGCCAGGTAGATGCCCTGGGAGAGCTGGCAGAGTACCGTGTCACCACTGTTGTCCTTATTCATGGACAAGAGCATGAAGGGCAGAGTGCAGAGCAGGCAGAGGTCGGCCACGGCCAGGTTGACCATGTAGATGTGGGTTTCTGTCCACTTGCGCAGGCGGCAGCAGAACACCCAGAGCGCCAGGCCGTTGAGCAGCAGGCCCAGCACCAGCAGCAGGCCCAGGTAGGCGTGGAAGATGTGTGTGACCAGCGGGGAGCTGGTGATGGGGCAGGTGCTGTTGTTCATGGTCCTGGGGCTGCAGGAAGGGAGCAGGGGTGAGGAGGGCTGGCAGCATACGGAACTCAGGGAATGGCAAGGCCCCGCCCATCTCTGGCTGGGGATGAGCCCCTACCCCATATCCAAAACTCACTTTTCCCAAAGAAGTCATAGAAACCATAGGAGCTCTGAGGCCCCCGCAAGCCAGACCCCTGACCGCTGGAAGGTGGGAAAATCAAGGCCTTTGGAGCTGGGTGGGCCCAACATGGCCCAGTGAGCCAGCCCAGGCCTGTGACCAGCGGGGAGACCCTCGAACTCTCGAGAGCCCTCCTCTCCCGGGCCCTGCCTGCTGCTGGGCAGAGAGGAAGGCAGAGGAGCTCGCTGCCCACCTCCAGTCCAGCCGATTCAGCTCTCAGGACAGGGCGCCGGAAAGGGCGACTCTAAGGAGGGCCCAGGACGCTGCTGCATGGGCTTCTGCTTCTCCTCTCGCTTCCCGGACCTACCTTTGACCCACACCTGCTCCTCAACAGAGTGGTCAGCATGTACCCCACCTGGCCACTCGTGGCAGCCGAGGTCCAGACAGCAGGGGCTGTGGCTCAGGACAGCTCCCCAGAAAACTCCAGAAGTCTGGTCTTCCTCCTCCTTCCTGCCTGCCCTCCCTATTCCCTGAGGCCCCCTCCCAGTCCCCATCCGGGATAGGGAGCCCCTTGAGCTCCCTGTGGTCAGAACCCTGAGGGAGCTCTGCCCTCCAGGCCCAGAGCGGCCACACAGTGGCACTGGGCGACCTCCACCCCGTCATCTTCATCATCAGAAGCTCCCACACAGACTCCCCTCCCTGTCTATGCTGGCCTTTCATGCCCCCGAATACACCCCATCACTCAGGGCAGGAGGGTCAGGACCAGCGCACCAGGGCCTGAGGACGTGGTCAGGGTCCAACCTCCAGGTGATGGCACCTGATGCTGAGATGGATTCTGCATTCACCCTGCGCTGGGTCAACCTTGGAGCCTCCCAGGGGGCTGCGGCTGCTGGTGTCCCATGTGGTGGGGTAATGGAGCATGTGATGAGGACCAGGGAGCCATGCCTCCTCCCACCCCCAGGAACATGGGCCCTCCAGGTGGGGAATGGAAGTGGGTCAGTCTGCGGGTTGGGGGGTGGTGGGTGGCGGGAGGCGGGGGAGAGGGCCTGGGCCAGGCTGGGTGGGTTCTTTTCTCTTCCCTCCCCCCAGGAAATAACCAGCATTTGCAGAGTCATTAGGCTCATTAGCGCTGGCTGGGCCCTCTGGGAGCCTCCAGACACAGGCCATTAGAGAGGCAGGAGCAGAAATATTCCGCTGAGTATCCCATCCCATCTCTTTTGCATTTTAAAACGGCACATTTGCCAGCAATTAAAATTTCATGCACGCTTTTCCGCTTTTCCGTATGTAACATCCCTGCACGCCCCATGATCTCACTCCTCGTTTTTTGAAGGATTCTGTTGGTTCTTTCTGAGACACCTCATTTTGTCCGTATCCTGAGGTTCCTCGGACCATGAGCCAAGCCAGGCTGTGGACACCCCCAGAACCCACTAGAACCAGCTGCTGGGATCCTTCCTTCCTGCCCACCCCGCCCTCCTAGCTATGCCCCACCCAGAAACCCTGGTGAGCTGCCAGGCCAGCTTTGTGAGGTGCCCCAGCCCAGAACCCTCAGATCCTGTCTGGGACTACTACTCCAGGCCTCTCATCTCTGTCCTCTGGGGTCATCCCAGGAGAGCTTGGGAAGTCAAGGCCTGGGTCCCACCCAAATGGCCTTGTGTATCCCTGCCCACGCCCAGCCCCAGCATGGGGACGTATGTCCAGGACGGGGACCCCAGCTGGCCTCCTGCCCAGACATGCAGGACCGTCCCCCTTATCAGACACTGTGGTCGCCCTGCAGAAGCGCGTGCTCTGAGCACTCAGCCAACTGGGGCCCTGTCATATCCGGCCGGGGGAGTCTGCCATGGGAAAGGGGAGCAGGCTCAGCTTCCTCTTGAGTCTGCTTCCTGCACAGGAAGCAGAAAGCCACCTTGTGATTTGCACCAAGATGCCTATGCAGTCACTGTCAGAGAGACCTATGCACACACTGGGGTTGTCCCCTCCCCGCCCCCCATCTCTAGCCCCTATGTCTGCCAGCCCCAGACACCCCACAGTCGGATCTGGGGCAGACAGTGGTGCCTGGGCACTGTACGGGCCTCCGGAACTGGGACCCCACCTAAGAAACACCCCAGGATCCAGGACTGGCATGTGTGAGTGGAACAAAAGTTGCACAAAACAAGGTGAGGATGTAAATATAGACAAATGGAACACGACTCAGCCATAAAAAGGATGAAATATTACCATTTGTGACAAGATGGATGGATCTTGAGTGCATCATGCTAAGTGAAATAAGCCAGACAGCAAAGGACAAAAACCATGATTTCCTTCATATGTGGGATATAAAACAAAAAGCAACAAACGAACAAAACAAACTCATAGACACAGACACCAGAATGGCGGTCACCAGATGGGGTGGGAGGGGGGAGAAGAGGAAAAGGGTCAGATATATGGTGACAGAAGGAGACTGGACTCTGGTGGGGAGCACACACGTGTACAAAAGTCGAATTATAATCGTTTCACAAAACAGAGCTCACCAAACTGGCAACACAGAACTGAAATAATTTCTATCTAGTTTTTTAGTGCTGGTCACACCCACAAGGTAGATTTCAGTCTCAAATTAGGTGGGAGTCTAGGCCCTGGAGACACCTCGATCTCCTCTGAACTGCAGCCCACCCTCATGGAGAAGGGTCCCCTTTCCAGACCTGCCCCTCAGAGCTCCTCCATTAGGACACTCCCCTGAGATTCCAAGCCCCATCACAGCCCTGGCCCCTCTCTGAGACTCCACAGGCCCCAAGGTTGGCACTGACCTGCAGTCAACCTCAGTTTCCCGGGCAGAGCCGTCTCCCCCACCCTTCAGGCTGCCTGACTATAGCCCTCCTTAAGGCAGCAGGCAGTTGGTGGGCTGATGACAGCAGAGTGGGGGTGACGGGCTCCCCTCTGCCTCTGCCCCAGCCCAGAGCTGCCTGGGGAATTTCCAAGAAGGGAAGTGGGAGTGGGCACTATGTCGACACCTCCAGACAGCACACGCACTTGCAGCACCAGAGGGATCCCCAGCAGAGGCATCTGTCCTGCTCACTGCATGGCACCCTCACACGCACAGCCTTGCTGACGGTGACCACCAAAAGGCATGGACACACAGCGGCTCAGGGCCGACTGCCTGCCGGCCGCCTGCTGGCTGCTTTAGCTGGCCTGCTCCTCCCCGTCTCCTCCTCAGAAGCCCCTTCCCAGGCCGCCCAGCTCGGGTCTCTGCACTCTGAGCCCAGTGTGGAGAGCGGCCCTTCCTTTGGACCCCCACTCAGCCCCCTGCACCCTGAGGGCAGGGAATTTGTCTCCTCAGCTTCCCCCACCAATTGCCACCTGCATTTCTCTATACAGACTGCTGGGAGCCCTTCCACCCGACCCCTGCCTATTCACAGAGGTGGAGCGGAGGCCCGAGTGGGGAGTGTGGCCTGGCCTCCTGACCCGGGGACCAGTGCTCCTGCCCAGAGGCCCCTGAGGAAGGCCCTGTTCCACCCCTCTCCTCTGCAGTCCCCAGACCCAGGTCTGACTGGGGAGGGGGGGTTGGTCTCTCCATGGGCTCCTCCTGCCCCCCTCCCCCTACCTGGCCCCCTCCCAACCCAGTTCTGACACCCTCTCCATCTGTTTTTCTTTTTTTCATACAACTTGTCTTTTGTATAGTTGACCCTTGAACAACTTGGGGGTTAGAGGCAACAGCCCCCACACAGTTGAAAATCCACATATAACTGACTCCCCCCAAAACTTAACTACTAGTAGCCTCCTGTGGACCAGAAGCACTACTGATAACATAAAGTCAGTTAACATATTCTGTATGTTATATGCATTATATACTGAATTCTTACCATAAAGTAAGCTAGAGAAAAGGAAATCCTAAGAGAAAATACAATATTTATTGAAAGAAATCTGCATGTGAGTGGGCCCACCCAGTTCAAGGGTCAGCTGTACTAGTACTTAGTCTTTGCTTGTGACCAGGACCCCGCCTGCCCTCAGACATGTCACCACTGGGCACAGAGCAGCGCCTCAATAAAGCGTATTAGCCAGGCAGCGGCCCTGACAGCGGGAAGAGTCTGTCCAGGGACCGTGCCAAGGACCGAGCAGGGTTCGTGGCTCCCAGCAGGTGCCCCATAAACATGAGCTGCCACAGGCTCAGAAACATCTGCCTGGTGGGAGGGAGTACCTGCCCCCTGGCCCTTCCCCAGGAGCTGGCTCCCTCCCTGTGGAAGGCGGGCTGTCCCAGTCTGAGAGGCCTGGCCATGCTGAGCAGGCTTCAGGTGCAGACCAGGCCCACCCCCTTACTCCTGGACAGTCTCACAACCACAGCAATGGTCCTCTGCCGAGGAGGACAGGCGAGGGCAGCCTCGATGCTGCTGCCGGCATCCGCCAGGGGTTGGAGGCCTCCTCCCATGCCTGCCACCCCTGCTGCAGTCCCAGAGCCCTGTCCTGCTTCCATCCTGACTGGCCTGGGAGAGTCCATGTGACAGGCTTATGCCAGGTGGGAGGGGGTGGCAGGGGGTTGGCACAGATCTCAGGGAGGCTCCTCCTGCCCCCTTCTCTGAATCCTTGGGGTCAGAGAGGAAAGGGCTGTTGAGCTGTGAGAGACCGTCATGAGCTATGTATGCATCACTGCCCTGGGTCCACGTGAACCCTGGAGGGAAGGGCCCTGGGGAGGCTGGGCCTCTCGGAAGGAGCCTGCTGGACATGATCATGGGCCAGCCCAGCACACCCTGCAGACACCTGGTGCTGCCAGCCCCACCCTTGCAGCAGCCACCTCCCTCCCTTGAAAACCTGCCACCCATCCACATGGCTCCTCCTGCCTGTCCCCCTACACAGAAGTCATATTCAGCCTCTGAGACTCACGCAGCTCATTCATTCATGCCCTCAGCGAATATGTCTGAGCGTGGACAGGTATCACTGAGGCTAAGAGTGGGCATAGGAGGGGCAGGGGTTGAGGGAGGCCCCCAGTGGCACACCCTCAGGGCCTGGCTGTGCCTGAGGTTCCCCTGGTCATGAAGGGGCATGAAAAGGTCATGTGGGGAGCGTGAGAGCAGATGGGCCTGAGAGGTGCATTTGGGGCTGCCTATCCTGGTCCAGACCCCCATCCTCACCCCACAGAGTCACAGACACACACAGGCCCAGTGAGGGGAGCTCCTATGACACCACCCTTGCCCGCTCCTCCTCAGGCCCCTCCCGCAACAGCTGCCCGAAGCACCTGTCACCCCAGACTACATGCCTCAAGGCATCTGGACACCTGCAGATGACAGAAGTGCCCCTGTCAGCTGGCTGCAGCACCCCACCCACCCGGCCCACAGCTGGACAGGCCGCTGTGCAGTGAGACTACAGCCGGTGCTGGCAGAAGGCAGAGAAGGCTCTGCTGGGTGCTGACCCCGAGCCCTCGCCACCCCAGTTTGGCTCACTCACCCTGACAGCTGCTGTTCCCCTCCTCCTGGCTGGCTCCCCAGGACTGCCTGCTCCTGTTCTGCTCTGCGGCTGCATGAGCCCCCTGGGGCCCCTCCCGGCAGTGGCCAAGGGGGGCCTCGGAGGCTGCTCATTTCCCTGTCACATGGGCAAACGCCAGAGTCCTGACTCCTCCCAGCCTCTTGCCCTCTCCCTGCCCCTGTGGTGCTTCTCTACCCTCCCAGGCCTCCTTCCCCGGTCTCCACCCGAGGCTTCTCTGACTGGGAGGCTGGCCGCTGGCCCCACTCCAGGCCCCACTCCTGGATAGGCTGCCTTCCCGCAGGGCCTCGGACATCAAGCTGCCCGGCCTGGATCCTGGCCCCTGTCTGCGAGGCACCCCCCCCCCACTTCCAGGAGGTCATGCCCCTGTTCAAGAACCTGCTGGGCTTCCCACTGGGGGACAGGAGTTGCCAGCCTGCTCCTGGTGAGGCCCTCAGGCTGCAGGGGTGATGGTGGAGAGCATGGGGTGTGATTGAATCTCACCCCTGCTTGACAGTCAGCTGTGAACCTCCAGCAGCTGGACCCAGAGCTGAAGGGCGTGTCTCCCTTTTCGAGGACATGTCTCTCTGAGAGGGGTTCCCTGCCCCCTCCTCCCCCCCCCCCTCAAGGGCAGCAACCTCCAGCTTTAGCTGGTTTGAGCCAGTGTGGGGCAGACCCCAAGAAAAGGTAGTTTACCCAGCTGACGCTGAGCAAGTGGTCGCCCACTTCTCTTGAGAAACACTTGCTGCGTTCTCATGCCCCCCTCCCTCCCCAAGACCGCTGGCCTCTGACACTCACTTCCCCCTGGACATTGGGCGAGATGCCAGCTAATGGAAACATGAACACACTTCACAGAAAAGGCGATGTAAAGGGTTCGTTAAAGATATGAAAAGACCCCAACAGACTCACAAAGAGAAATATAGATTAGAAGTGCCTACAGTGGCATTTCCGTCTCGCATGGGCAAACGCCAGAGTCCACAACACTCTTGGGGGGGGCGGGTGGTGGGGGGCAGCCTCAGACCTCTCCTGTTGATACTGAGCATGGCACACACCCCATGGAAGGGGGTTCGTCATATCCACCAAAATTAGAGATGCGTGGCCTTTGACCCAGTAACGTGCTCCTAGGAACCATTCTACAGGCAGGCGGAGGGAAAAGCTGCTTCTGGGGCTACCCCCCACCCCCCCCCCGCCCCGTGCATGGCAGGGTCGCAGCAGCCCAGGAGCCATGCCGGCATCTGTTCCGTCCAAGCCATGGAGCAGCTGGCCGCTGGAGGGAGGAGCCATCTCTCTGGCCACCGCCACCAGGTTATCTCCAAGAGGTGCCGCGAAGTAAACAAGGGTGTGAATGCTCATTTCCTTATTGAGGGCCAGCTGGTTATAGTTTTACAAATGGAAGGATAAGCCATCAAGTTTGTTTTCAATTAAATTGTGACCTGTGGGGAACAGGTGGCAATGGAGTGAGGGAGAGAGGAGTAGAGACTAGACTTCTGTGAATACACCTGGGTGTGTGGATTTGACTTTAGAACCATGTAAACAGTCATGTAATCACTAAAGTCAATTAAAGTACATTTATAAAGGAATTCTTAAATTTGAAAACAAGATGAAACTATGAACTTGGATTAGCAGTTGGTGGCATAGCCCACCGAAGTCTCCCATGTGACTTTAAAGTCTAGTATTCTATGTCTCTGCAGTCTGAGGACAAAAAGAATGACAAAGTGTTTCATCTTCCAAATCATTTTAAAACACACTTTTGTATGGACATCTATATAACCCAAGGATTTTAACAGTGCATAAAACATCTTCAGCTTCTCGGCAGTCATGCTGTTGATGGTAGTGTCGGTGTTGTGTGGGGATTATTGTGCGTCTTAAGGGATAAAACAAATGAATAGTTATATTGGGTTTGGGATCAAGAAGATGCAAATAAGTCATCAGTAAGGTTAAGAAAGCCACATAGATCAGAGGTGACGGAAAGGCTGCACCTACGTGCACTATCTCATCTTACAAAGAAGCTTCCTGCTTCTGACCACCTACAAGGCTGGGCCGGGGGGTGGTGGGAGGTGGGGGGAGAAGGGAGGGAGGCTGGACTACGTTAGGAGTCAGGTTAGAGTCAGGCCAGACCAAGTCTTGATGTTTTACTTAATGTTTGTTCACTTTGAAAATCTGAAGAGGCCAAGATTATTTATCCAGAGTCCTGTGTGGGCATATGCACGCGCACACACATTCACACACACACACACACACACACACACACACACACACACACCATCCAGGGCCCCACTTTCACATCTGCTCACCCTCACCCGGGACACACACCCCTGCTTGCACCTCCTCAGGACACAGGCCCACCCTCTAGCAGCCTCATCCAGCCGTCCCCAGCCGTCCACGTGCTCATCTCCAGCATAGATCTGCCAGCACTGCCTCTGCCAGGCCCTGAGCTGAGCGCCAGCCTCTCCTGAGGTCAGTGACACCTGCACAGCTCCCCAGGAATGTAAGGGTTGTTTTCACATTAGAACGTCAATCAATAGAACTCATTACATTAATAAAGAAGAACATTTATACAATCCTTTCAATCAATAACAAAAAAATCATTTGACAAAATTCAACACTTATTTATGATAGAAACGCAGCAAACTAGGAATGGAAGGAAACTCCCTCAACCTGACAAAGGGCATCACGGATCACCCAGAGGAAACACTGTACTCACTGGGGGGACCGGAAGCTCCCACTGTGCTCAGTAGCAAGGACAGTGCCTGCCACCTCCATTCCGATGGTTCTGGACTCTAATCAGGGGAAATGAGACAAAAAAACCAACAACAACCATGCTTCCAGGCAGGACAGGGAGAAGTAAACCTTTCTATCTTCATAAATGACACATTGTGTATATAGAAAACCCAAAGGGATTTACTCCAAAACTATGAACCAATAAGTGAATTAGCAATGTTATAGGCTACGAGATTAATAGACACAAAAAAATGTACTTCTGGCAACAAACAACTGAAAAAGGAAACTAAAAATACAATAGCATTTATAAGCATGAAAAAAAAACAAAGTACTTAAGAATAAAGTAAAACATGTATGCTCAGAGCTACAAAATACTGCTGAGAGAGACTCAAGAAGGTCTCCATAGATCAGTGGTTCTCAACCTTGGCTGCACATTAGAATCACCTGGGAATCTTTTTAAAATCCTGATGTCTGGGCCTCATTCTCCGGAAATTCTGTTTCTTTGTTATGGGATGGGGCCACAACATTAGTAACAAAGAAACAGAATTTCTGGAGGACAAGGCCCAGAAATCAGGATTTTAAAAAGATTCCCAGGTGATTCTAATGTGCAGCCAAGGTTGAGAACCACTGCCATAGATGAAGGCAGATGGAAAGGTATACCATCCTCATGGATTCTCATATTGATCTATACCAGTGGTCGGCAAACTGTGGCTCGCGAGTCACATGCGGCTCTTTGGCCCCTTGAGTGTGGCTCTTCCACAAAATACCAACTTCTGCGCATGGGCCACGAAGTTTCAATTGCACTGTATGTGCATGCCCACACGTGGCATTTTGTGGAAGAGCCACACTCAAGGGGCCAAAGAGCCGCATGTGGCTCGGGAGCTGCAGTTTGCCGACCACTGATCTATACAATCAAACCCTGAAGCCTCAAGTGTCATGTCTGCTGGTTCTGCTTCTTGGGCATATCTAGACACTGACCTCTTCTCTCAGCCTTCACCACCTCCCGCCCAGCTAGGACACAACCACGTGTTCCTTGGATGTCTCAAGTTGGTCCCCAACCTCCAGTCTATCCCCAAGACCTCAGCCAGTGGGAGATGTCAAATAAACTCACACCGGGCCCTGCTTAAAACTGCAATGGCTGCCCCTGCCCAAGAGAAAAGACCCAAGCTCTTTAAAGGGCCTCAAGGCCCTTCCTTTACCTACCCCTCCAGACGTAGCGCTCGCCATGTTCTCTGAACCTGCCCCTCTCCCACTTGCGCTGCAGGCACAGAGAGCTCCTTTTCATTCCCTGAGGATGCCCAGCTCCTGCCAGCTTCTGCCCTGCTCCTGGCTGACCCTAATCAAGGACCATCCCCACACATCATCTGCCACCTCCTTGTCAGGACTATCCAGAGGCCTCAGACCTGCAGAACTGAATACTAGAGGGAGCTGGTGGGCACAGCCTGTCCCCAAACTCATCCTCAACACTGGAGAAGACCCTCCCTGTAAGGAGCACAGCCATGTCCAAAGACCCCAAAGTGTTCCCAGGAGCAACATGACTCTTCTCTTCACCTCAAAATGCAGCAAAACCAGTTTAAAATCTGTTAAATGTTGGGGGCGAAATCGAGGAAAATCAAATGAAGCATCCATGGGACACGGAGCAGGAAATTATTGTGAACGAAGAGACAGAGAGAAGACAGCCTGGAACATCTGAGAACTTGGCTGCAGTCTGGCTGTCCCTGAGCCTTTTCCATCCTGCCTCCTGTCCAGGAAGTCCGGCAGGCCAGGCCCCTTCCCTGTCTACCTGCTCGCAGGGCCCCGGGATCTCAGTACTCACCACAGAAGCTCTACCACCCCCCACGCTGATCCAGGCCTGGGGGAGGGAGGGTGGGCGAAGACATTAGAGAGAAGACCCAGGACCAGGACTGGGTAGGACAGGGTTCCCCCGGAGAAGGCACCATGCCTCTGCAGCAGGAAGTGAAAATGAGAAGAAACTGCAAACAAAGCGGGCAAAGTCTGCTGAGAAGGGCGGGAAAGCTGTTCTTACCTGCACACACCCACACCTGCCGCCAGGACTGCCGACTGCGACTGCGGCCACTGTGCGTAGGAGGGAGGCAGTCTTCACCCCCTACTGGCAGGTCCACAGACCAGCTTGGGATGGACCCCAGATGGGCTGGCTCTGGTTGGACATAGCCCTGAGCTCAGCGCTGGCACTCAGCTTGGCTGGGCAGGCTTCTCTGGGTTCCATGGAGCCCCAGCTCAGCCCGGGCTGCCCTACACTGGGCTCTGGACCAGTCACAGACGTGAGAATACAAAGACTGAGGCCCAGGTGTCTCAGGCATGGGAGATAGGCCATGGGGCGGAGGGGGACCTGCTCAGGCCCTGGAAGAATGTGGAACAGCCCATGTTCCTCCACTCCTCTGGACAGGCTGGTCCACCCCGCCTACCAGGCTACCAAGGACTCCAGGGCAAACCAGAGGGCCAGAGCCGGGATGGGGGTGTGGGGGGAACACTGTGAATGGGGACAGAGCCCAGGCAGGTTTTCAATAAGGACATTAGAGTCCAGGGACTGAAGACCAGAGACTGGCTGCACTGAGTGGACCCAGGCCCTGTGGCTGCAGAGGCTGCCCAGGGAAGGTCTCCTTCAGCTCTGCCTGTGTCTGTAAGGTCCATGTAAGGCCAGCTCAGGCCCAGGCAGGAGGGGCTGGCTGGGAGGGGCATGGAGACCATGCCCGACTGCCCCAACCACACAGGTCCTGGAAGTCCGGAGGGCCACTGCCTCACCAGCCCACAGTGGGGCCCCAACAGGGCCCTCTGCCAAAAAAGTCCTTCCCCACCACCCAATGAGAGACCAAGGCTTATCTCCAGATCCCGCCACAGCCAGGGTGCCTCAGAGGGGAAAGGGTGAGTCACCCAAGGGTTTTGGGGAGGAGCCAGCTCCAGCTGCCACCCTCACCCCTCCGCCCCGGAAAGGCTAGCCCCTGCCTTTGAGAGTTCTGGGCCCCTTGCCAAGATGTGATGGGGGCAGTTAGCTGCATCTCACATTGTCTACCATAGCCTCCTCCTTTGGAAGGGTGGTACGCACCCCGCCCCCCACCTCCCCTGCCCCCCCCGCCCCCGCCACACACATACATAGGGCCACCCTGCGGGGAATCTTAATGGGTAACATAATGCTTGGCTTTCTCACTTTTCATGTAATCAAACTGTTCCAGCAAAACGAGTAGAAAACAGAAGATGGATGGATGACAAAGCCCAGAGGTGCAGGCTCCTCAGCTGGAGTAGCCCCCAGGGCCAGCGATCTGCCTGGAGCAGGGGTACACAGCTGACTTGACCAATCAGTGGTGACATTGGGCTCTTGGGGTCACTTCCTAGTCTCTAGGCACATAATTGGGGCTGACACATGGCATATGACCAGCACCCTTGGTGGTCAGGCATGTCAGTCAGGAAGGCCAAGGGGACAAGGAAACCTTTTCACCCTACAGACACCAATCAAAGCCGGTGTTATCGGTGGGGTGCTCTCTGTGTCCCCACCTATCGCCTGTGGAAGTAGGTTTCTTGTGATGTCACAAGAAAAGGACTTTTCTGAGATTCACATGAAAGAGTAAGTGGTGTTTGTGTGGAATTAAACCCCTGAGTTTCCAAGTTCCCCTTTTCCTCTGTCCCACCAAGGAAAAAGTCCTATTTTGTCTTCAGCAAAACTAGGATTAAAGCCAGCGTCGTTTCCACTCCGTATGTGCAGTCCAGGGCAGCACCTGGCTAGCTTAGCTTGTGTTCCCAGCTGCAGCCCATTGTGTGTAGGGTCCACACGGCCAGGGGCCATGGAGTTTCTAGGGCCACATGGCTATGGAGAGAACACAGGAGCAAAGGAAGCAGGACAAAGCCAGAGGAACAAGAGTGAATTCCTTTGTCTCCGGATTATATATTCCCAAATTTGCTCAGGCTTGCTGTGGCTCCACCCCTCTGGCCAATTATCTTTGTTCTAAGGTTAGACTGACAGGCAAGTATTTTCCCTACATTACCCACTTCACTGCCCATACCCCCATCTTTCTCTTTGTCCAGTCCTTTCTGCCAGTGACCTGCAGCGACTGGACTGGTGGTTCCCTGGTGGTGTGAAATTGCAGGTTCCTGGGGAAGCTGCCCAGATGGCTATGCTTATGTCTGACCTCCCCTTTGCTCCTTTCCTATTAATATTAATAACTAATTACAATGGTAACACTGGCACCACAGGGGTTGAACATGAAGACCTCCCTGAAGATGTGGGAGTGGTGGCTCCATTGTGTCTCTATTAGAGTTCGTGTAGCCCCAATGGACTGGGGGTTCCACTGCAGGGCAGCCCCAGTCCAGATCACCAGGCCTCAGGTACAGGGTGCGGCTATGAAGGGCAGTTGGGAAAGCTCAGAAGCAGGTCACTTGGTCACTTGTGCGGACTGGACAATAGGCAGTGCCAGTTTTTCCCAGGACAGACACTCAGCTGGCTGGACGCCCTGGTTGATGTTGACAGGACGTGGACTGAGTCGGAGGGGCAAGATGGGGTTTGCTGTGTCGGATATGGGGAGGGGTCCCAGGCACATCCCCTTCCAAGTGTCAGCACTGACTGCATGTGGCAACGCCGCGCAGCGGAACACCAGGCCTCAAGTTCTCCGGTGCCTGCCTTTCCACACCTGGGAACACCATTTGGTTGCTGATGGCAAGGCTGCCAGATGGGGAGATGGCAGGAAGCATCCTTCCTGCACCTGCCCTGCGCACCAGATCCTCCTCGACCCTCCAAACCTTGTCTCCTCACCACCCTCCTCCTCCCTGAACCTCCCCACCCCGGAGGCTGCGATCCTCCCAGGGTCTCCCTGCCTGAAATAAGACATCTATGAACTGCTCAGTATTCCTCTTTATTTATAAAGTTACATCCAGAAGTGCTGCAAACAGCTGTGTGCTGACACACTCGTCTGTCAGCTGAGGCCTCTCTGGAGCCCCGAGGGACTCCACGGAGCTGTTGTCATGGCTTGGGGACCAGGACACTCGCGTTGGGCCTTTCTTGCTCTCCCTGCAGCACCTGCCTGACCCTGGGGCTGCCTCTCTCCAGGATGAGGAACCTTCACCTAGTGCCACAGGCACATGCGGCTGCTCAGTGCAGGACTGGCAGCTACAGCACCGAGGCTGGTGGCACCGTGCAAGGATGCTGTGTGAGGACATCATGGGCCAAGGGAGGCCTCTGAGGACTCCAGTGGGGTTATCCAGTTAGGTCTTCATCACTGCCATGAAGGAGGCCTGTGAAAGGAGAGATGGTGAGGCGTGGCAGTGGCTGCCCTGGACAGCGGGGAAGACACAGTGCACCTCATGCCTCAGGACACAGCCCAGTCCGCAGTGTGGCCCACTGGGAGAGGCTGGGGAATGAAGGCCCCAGGGCACCAGGCAGCCCCTCCCAGGCCCCATGTACCTCTTGGAGGAGCTGCCCCAGCATTTCCTGGCTGTGAATGGAGCGCCTGTGGGAAAGAACACCTGGGTCAGCCCAGGGCCCCTCCCCAGCACTCAGGCCCATCTACATGCCCAGAGGCTGACAGGCAAGGAGTCCCCAGGGACTGTGAGGCAGGCGGGAGAACACGGGGAAGGTGGGCACTAAGGTCCTCAGGACGACAGCCCCCCACAGCCCCACCTGTCTATTCTGGTTGCGATGGTCACTGTGAAGGCCCCCTCTGTGTCTGGCAGGTAGGTGGAGGGCACAATCCTGTAGGTCCCTGCAGACAGGTGGCAGACGCGGCTCACTTCCTGGGTGTAGCAATGTGGCACACAGCTCAGCAGAGGCTTCTGGAGCAGCAGGGAGGGCGTGCCCTGGCCCCCATTGTCCGCCGGAACCTGGGGAGGCACAGACTGACTAGGAAGCCTGTCCATGGGTCAGGTAGAGAGGTCCACTGTCCCCAGTCTCAGTTGGGCTGCTCTTTCCCAGACCCAAAGCAGCCTCGTCTGGGGACATGCTGAGGGTGTGCTGGGCTGGAGCAGCCCCGGCTGCAGTCTGCTTGGACCTCCTGGGGCTTCATGCCTGGTCCCCCCTTCCAAGGAGGAGCAACAGCTCCCCAAAGCTGGGCTCACTGCTCACTGAGGCCCTGCCACCCTTGCCAGGAAACCCCATCAGGTGTCAGGTGCCCATGCCTGGGAACCACCCAAATTGCCCCTGCTTAGGCCCAGAGGCACCTACTGGCCACTGGTACTTTTCCCCAAGCTCCTGGTGTCTCTGCTCTTGGGAATGGGGGTTTCTCAGCAGCTCTGCCCATTCTCTAGGGTATAGAACCTTCTCAATCAGAAATTCCTACCCTCCCCCCAGATCACCTGTGCTCCAGGCTTTGTGTGCCCCTTCTCCCCTCAGATCCTGGAACACCGGCCACTTCACCCTGCCCGTCTAGAATTGGGCCCCTGGGAGCACAACAGTGTATGGGATGGGGAGCCTCACTGGCCATGCGGTCTGACTTCTCCCCTTCCTCTAACTACAGGTCTGCTAAGCATTTTGCCTACATGGTGGGAGAGAGAGCCGACCGCCAAGGAAGGCACCCTGGGTGGCTATGACTCACTGGCAGCACCTCCTTCTGGACTCCTCTGGGCTCACAGCCATTCTAGGTAGAAAGTGGGGACAACATACTTCCAGCTTGAGTCCCTGGAAGACCCCTCTTTCCTTGGACCTGTCTGGGATTCAGGAGCCACCTCACACAGCTGAGCCCACTGTAGCCCTGACTGAGCTGCCTAGCCCTGAGAACCTTGGGGACCTTGCGAGCTCCTCACCACCACCCGGCTTTGTGTTTTCCTTCTGGTCTGAAATTCCTGGCAGCGCCATTTGGGCAGCAGAGTGGCTGTCAGTTCCTCAATGGTCTCAGCCAGTGTGGCCTTCCCCATACCCCTTACTGCGCTTCCCCACAAACCTTTGCCATCACCCATCTCTCCCTGGATCTCGGGGGCACACATGCACCCAGGAACAGCCTCACGCTGCGGGCCATGGGCAGAGGGCAGGGTTACACAGCTCTGGGGTGCTGCTGGTGTTTGATCACTCCCGAGTGATGCCATTGGGCCTCCTGAGTGGGAGGCACCATCCTGGGGAGAACTGACCCCATGACACAGTTGTTCTGAGCCAGAGCAAAGGGACAAGGGGATGCCTGAGCTACTGGTGACCCCCAGTGAATTACAAACTTCATGAAACCTAGAAATGAGTCATGCACATGACCGGCCAGCCTGGGCAACATGCCCAAATGACCAAGTCCAGGGCTCCACATCATGCCCCACCCCATCCTGGCTCACAGTTGCCCCCGACCCCCAAGAGCTCGCAGAGCTTGCCTGGAAAACATGGAAGCCGATGGGGTGGCAGTCGCTGTCTAGGCAGTGCTGGTGCAGAGTGATCCGGACGCAGCGGGGGCCTGCACCCTCAGGTATCGTGAGGGGGAAGCAGGGGTTGCTGGAGTAGGAGGCAAAATTCCGGCTGCCCCCGGCCGTCTGGCCAATCTTCCAGGAGCCCTGCAGCTGCACAGTCTCCCACTCCCCCGCCAACAGGGTCTCCCCAGGGCCAGGGCTCTGGACCACTGTCTTGATGGCACTGCCCGGGAAAGACAAGCACAGGACAGGGGCTAAAGGCACCGTCTGGCCTGCCTTGATCAAGGCAGGAGCACACAGGCCCCCAAAGAAATGGCCAGGCCCCTCACCTGAGGGAGACTCTCCCGCTGGAGAAGACCCGGAGCAAGAACTGTCCTGGCACATTCTTTAAGAAGGTGCTGGGGACGGCCAGGTAGTAGCCGGGGGTGAGCTCACAGCGGAGATGGACCTCACGGTCGTAAGCATGGCACACAGTGCCAGCCACAGGGGGTGTGGACAGGATCCTGGGCAGGCTGACCCGCCGCTTCTCCACCTGTGGAGAGGAGGCCTGTGTGGGAACTCACAGAGACCCGCCCCACCCACTCCTGGCATCAGGGCCTCTCCCCAAAAAGTTAAAACATGAAAGCACTCCACCTCCCAGGGGCCGGCTGAAAATGCCCATGACCCTGGGCTTCCACTCAGCCTGTCCCGAGAGCCTGCAGGACCTCCTGCTCCAGGACACACAGATGCAAAAGGGCTGTGCCCACGGCTACTGCAACCTGGGGCTGCTGGATAAAAGGCTTTCCAGCAACTCAGCGGGAGGAAAGGAACACAATGTAAGCCACACCCACAAAGGGACAGGGAACACTGCCTTGTGCTATGAGACCTTGGCAGGACATACAGACTAAAAACTAGGCCCTGGCAGCAAACAGGCAAGTTCCTGCACCAGCCATGCTCCTGTCCCCAGGACAGGCATCTCCATTGGGGTCCAGAGGGCTCCTTGCACAATCCCACAGGATCAGCCGTCACCATCCTCACTGATAGAGAGGAGACTGAGGGCGCAGGGAGGGTGGAGTGACCTCTCCAGGTCCCACAAGAAGTGGCCAAGCTGGGCTCGGACCTCCACAAACACCAGCCCCCAGAGCCCCGCCGACTCGGGGCTTTGGTTCTGGTTTCCTTTGGCCCACAGACACACCCAGTCCTCCCAGTGCCAGGTCTGTGGGAGCCCCCACAGGCACATGATCCCCAGGACAGCCAGGGCAGGGGGGAGGCCTGTGGGGCTCTTGTCAGTCACGTGTATCCCAGCATGGCAGCTCCTAGGATTCAGACATCCACGTGCCTCCCATCCTGGACCCTGTACTTCAGTGAGTGGGAAGCTGGCCCAACGGAGTTACCTTCCAGAGATGCAGACCCACGGCAGGGTAGTCCTTGCCTAGGATGCTCGCCGGGCTCCACACCGCGCGGCTGTCCCCCACTGGTGCCTGGGCCCGGCCAGCCCAGTCCACCGTGCGCATCCTGGGCCTCTGCAGGACAGCAATGTACACCTCACTCGGTTCTGAGACCCGCAGCCAGAACTTGGGGTTGCTGGGAAAGCCGCTGTTGTTCCGGCAGCCTCCTGCGGACTGCCCCAGGACCCAGGCCCCCGGCAGCTCCTGAGTGTGGCTGAGCACCTTCTCTAGGGCAAGAGCACACCACAGGTCAGGCTCCCCACCCTCACAGACACCTGCCTCCCCCACCGGGAGCCACCGCAGGGGGACAAGGGCGCCTGCTCAGGTTTGACTTCAGAAGGTAGAGTCCATTTGGGTGGCCGCATTGCACCCCCTAAAGGCTGCCCCAGGAATGGCACTGGTTACCTGAGTAGAGGCTCTGCAGGTGGCCAGCCTCCGTGACCGGGTAGCCAATGGTGACCTCGTCAAATTCACGGAGAAACTCCTCCTCATCCACCCAGAACTCCCCTTCCTGGAGCTGGGACAGCAGCTCCGCCGAGTCCACTGGGTCCACCTGGGTCCACCCTTCACCCCTGGCAGGAAACTCAAGTCATCAGAGATCTCTCATCTGAGAGTGACAGCACTAACCGTGCAGTGGGGCAAGAGGAGCCAGAGGGGACAGAGGGTGTCCTGAGAGCCCTGTCCCTGCCAGCACCTTGGGGCCAAACTCCATGGCCACCTTCCCACGCTTCCATTTGCCCTGGGCTGAACCTTCCTCAGGACCATCACCTCTGCTCCTACCACATGACCTGGCTGAGCGAATGGGTCAGTGAGCAGTGACAGAAGGACATCTGCCCATTGCTTCAGGCGTGGTTGCTCAGACCAAGTGTGACATCTGCTCACCACCCCGGCCACCTAAGGGGACTGTCGCAGCGCCCTCGTCCATCAGTTATGGGTCTTAAAGCCAAGCTGAGGACATAGCATAGGCATCTCATCGGTCCCTGTCCCTTAGCCTGACTGGGCATCTACTGTTCTATGGGCACCCTCAGTACCAAGCACTAAGCCAGCTTCCTAGACCACCTGAGGCCAAGCACAGACCATGTGGCCTTGGGGTTATGGGGGCCTTGCTGGGAGCTAATTGAGCACTATCCTGACCACAGAGCTACCATGGCACCAACCACGGCATGGGGGCCCAGGATGCCCCTCTGAGCCTGCACACCACCCCCCCTTGATGGCCCCCAACTGCACTCACCCCTCTCTCCAGGGCCCCTGCCAACAACGCCGGCCCCAGGGGTTCTGAATGCGAAGCAGCAAGATACTCTGACCAGCCTGACCCCGGAGCTCACGCAGGTCCGAGATGATGAAGGCGTGAAACTCCCCCAGCTCCCTGGCACCTAGGCAAGGAGCAGCTCAGTCAAGGAAAGGAATCCCCAAACTCAGCAGATGCACAGGTCTTGTCTCCTCCCCTGGGGACTGGTCCAGCCCCCCCAGCTGTGGCCCCACAGGCACCCAGATCCCACAGATCACCGGGGGCTCCTTTCCTAACCACTGTGGACAGTTAGCTCAGCAGTGGCCTTACCCAGCACAGAGCCCCCGCGAGGGAACTGGACCAGGCCTGGCAGCTCATTCCCTTCTCTGGGCCTCACTAGCTGGCCACATGGCCATGCAGGACGCCTGGTGCAGGGCCAGGTCTCAAAAGTGCTACTTTTAGCACTGTCATCAACAGTCTGTGACCACCAAGGGAAAAGGGAGATCACTTGGCAATGCCAACTGGGGAGGCAGGGGATGGATGGGCAGTGGGAGGACTGGAGGTCCAAGGAGAAACGACTCCACCTGCCCTGAGACCAGAGACAGAAGACATAGAAGGAGCCAAACAGGATGACACCTACCTGGAGAGGAGGGGTGGTGGTCCAACGCAAAGAGAAGAAACTCCTGGACTGTCCCTAAATGATTTATTCAGAATGGCATTGTAGCTGCCACCCACGTCCCCAGCCCCTTGCCACTTTAGTGGGGTCCAGGTGACCTCCAGCAGCCCATGTCTAGCCCACCCTCAGGGGAGGAGCCTGTCCCAGGCCTGTGCCAACCCTCACACACACACCAGGGTAGCATAATTGTCAACAAGAGCCAATTTATTTCAATGTTCATAGTCTTTGATAAAATATTCATTGTAGCCTGGCCGATGTGGGTCAATGGTTGAGTGTCGAGCTATGAACCAGGAGGTCACAGTTTGATCCCGTCAGGGCACATGCCCAGGTTTCAGGCTCGATCCCCAATAGGGTGTGTGCAGGAGGCAGCTGATCAATGATTCTCTGTCATCTCTCTCTCTCCTCCATCCTCTCTGAAATCAATTAAAATATATATATACATATATATATATATAAAATTCCATTGTGGAAATAATACTAAATAGGATACTTGTATGCATAAAGATGCTGTTATTTATAACAGCATAAGATCAGAAAGACCTTAAACTTCCAACATGAAGGGAACGATGAAAGAAGCTACGGCAGATCCACTAATGCAATAAGTTCACAAAGTTTATGTAACACAGAAAATGATCTAGGATGCAGAATGCAAAAGGTATATTTATGAAAACCGGAGAAAGGATACTAAAAAGTCAAAGGTAGCCACGTTTGAGGGAGTTTTTCCTTTCAACAACCCTTCTTCAATGAACATACATGATCACTACAGTGGAAACCTGAGTGCTGATTTCACAGGTTGCCAGCTGAGCCAGAGATGGTACCATCTCTGCATAGCGGTGATCTCACACAGGCACCTGCCTGTCCTGGAAGTAAGTCCTGGTCAAGGGAAAAGGGACCCCTCCCTCTGGAGAGGGGCAGACAGCCGAACAAGTTCACACAGCCAGACACCAGCTTGGTAAGACAAATGTCCCCACTTTCTACTCAGTCCAGATAGGGCCTCAGGGATTGCCTACAGGATCTGAGGGTGCATGTGTGTAGGCCCTTTGGGTGACCACCGCCTCACCTGCCTTGGGGTTGAACACTGAGCAGCTGATCAGACACCGCTCCTTGAGGCTGAGCAGCTGCCAACAAGTCTTGGGTTCTGAGCCGCCAGACCCATCCTGTTGGCTTCTGCTGCTTGCCAAGTTCTTCAGGTTCCATCTTTCTGCCAGGCCACCGGTTAGGTCCACCAGGGCATCTGCCACCTGCCCTGCCCATAGGTGCTCATAGGACCCATGGACCCTGCAAGACAGACACAGGAATGAGCCTCAGGCAAGGGGAGCAGCACCCTGCCTCTCTTCTATCCCCTTGGTCTATGACACTCCAAATCATCCTGTGATCCCATCCACCCAGCTTCAATCGCTTTTCTTTCCTGCTGCCTTGCCCTCCCCACAGCCAGAAGCAATCACGCCTTCACGGCTGACATTCAGTGTCCCAGCAAAGCCCAGCCACCTCTGCCTACGTGCAAAACCTCTTCTACTGCCAGTGTGGGCACAAGCGTGAGGCACGTGGGCAGAGGCTGTGACATCCACTCCATCTGATGGGATCCAACCCCAATGCCAGCAGCAGGCCTCCCTCCTGTCCTCGGTGCAAAGGCCTGCCTATCAGTTCACTGTCAGCAAGATGGTAAATGCATTCTAGGAGGGAAGGGCCTCGATTCACTCTGCATGAGGGTTTTGGGCTCAGTCAGGACCAGATAAAAAGGCTGATACCTAGCTGGCCTCTTTCTTCGCCAACAACCTGCAGAGAGGCAGCCTGTCCCCAGGGGTGAAAAACAAATAAATGGAAACATCTTTCTTGCTGGGTTTTGAGGAAAGAGAAAGGAAGAAAACACATACCCTCCCTCATGCCCACCTGTGAAATAAGGGCAGGGAAGGGAGGCAAACCACAGGCCAAGCCTCAAGAGTTCCTGTCTCCGGACCAGTCAGCCCCACCCCAGGACCTGCCGCCAAGCGCCTGGAAACGACAGGATTCTGCAGCGAGGGAGAGCAGAAACATGCTTCCGGGGGCAGTCTAAGGTGGCATGGCCCAGCCCGCCAGCCTCTAGCACACGTACTTGGCATAGACCTTCTCCAGTAATGGAAGCCAGAACACATCCTCTCTCTGGCACCGGGAGAAGCAGAGTCTCCCTGCAAGACAAGGCAGACGGTCATCTATGGTCACCTCCACCCAGCGTCCAAACTGCCAAACTCGACAGGTGAAGGAGCCACGGTATGTCTGGTCGAGCCAGGTCGGCTGTCCCGGAAGAAAGACCTACCGTGCACAGGGAAAGGCAAAAGGAGACCGTGAGACAAACATCTCGCAGTGCCCACCCAGCGTGCTAACCAGTGTGACCACATTGCATCGTCCCACAGTACCCTGCGGTCTGCAAAGGATCTGCCCTCATTCCATGCCTTGGAAAACCAACCATTGGACTGAAAATCCAGACTTCTCAATAAAATATTCTAAGACCATAATGAGGGAGCCAGTGTCTCCCAAAGCTTAAAGTCAACCATTATGCCCTAATGTCCCAAATAAGCCCTTGACCTGAATCCAAAACAAATGTGACTTTTAGAAGCATGAGACCCAATTCTCAGCAGAGCTGGCTGCAGATGGCAGGTTGCCATGGGCATAGCAACCCTCCTGCAGACGCCTGAAGCCCAGGACCTCTGCCAGCACCTGGATCCATGTTCACTGCCAGGTTTGTTCTGACCCGAGAGGCAGTGTTGGCTGTGCATCTAGACAACATGTTTGGTCCTGGCTCTGCCACTCACTAGCCGGAAAATAGTGACAATGGTTCTAGTGCCCTCATTGGTGAAAATGGGTCATAGCGGGTGAGGCCTGTGAGAGTGAAAGCCAACGATGTGCCGTGCTTACTTAGCATGGGGCCTGGGACCCAGGAGGCGCTCTGAATGGGGTCACCACTGTCAATGAACATTGCTGCATTCATTGGTGATACTTAGCAAGAAGCCAAACAGAAGGCCATCAACAGTCCAGGGAGGGAGTCTGAGCAGGCCTTCTTTACCTGTGGTGTCTGTCAGAAAGAGTTTCAATCATCTTTTGCTGACTTATATTTAAAACCTATTTAAGAAGTTAACTAGCTAAGGACGCTAATTCCAAACCAGGTCACAGGCTCCCTCAGCCCACCCTTTCCTGTCTAGGCTGGCACGTTTGACTTTTTAGTTCAGATGCATGGCTCTGACTCCGTAAGTGGGCTGGGGGTTTGGCAGAGCGGGGCAGAAAGTGCTGCTGCGGGAGAGGGGACACTGCGTCTGTGCCTGGGAACCCCTGTGGCCTGACAGCTGAGCTCCCTACTGCCCATGCTGAGCAGCTACAGCAGAGCCCCACAGAACAAGGGGTTCAGCTGCCTGGCCTCTTCCTTCCTTCCTGGGCACAGCAGACAGGAAGACAGAGCAGAAGAGAAAGCTGCACTATCACAGACACCTGGTCCAGGAGGTGCCGGCTCTTCTGCAGGGCGGCGCAGGCACACAGGAACCAGCAGTCCCCCAGAAGCCCTTGCTTCACCTGCCCTTCCTGTGGGTTATCTGGAAACAGCCGGGGCGTAGCACAAATTTCCTAAAAAGAAAGAACGTTGTCCACAGTTACATCATGCCTCATGCTAGTCTTTAAAATAGAGAACACGGGATCTAGGTGACGGGCTGGGAGGAGCTTTTCTGCTTATCCATGTTGCCTAACAGGAGAAGGGAAGCGCTGGCTTTTTGCAGAAATTATCTGTCAGCCCCTCCTGGTTTCAGGTCACTCAGTCCAGCTTAGATTATGGGGTCCCTGACTGTCCACTTTCCTTAACTGACAAAACACTCAACTCTGAATAAATGCTACCACCTCCCTTCTGGAAACAGCTAAATGTTCATCTAGAACCTGGCTTCACTTTACTATTTTTTAATTTTACTTATTGATGTTTAGAGAAAGAGGAAGGGGGAAAGGGGAGAGAGAGACATTGATTTGTTATTCCACGTATTTATGTATTCATTGGTTGATTCTTATATGTGCCCTGACTGGGAATCGAACCCCCACCCTTGGTGTTTTGGGGCAATGCTCTAACCAGCGGAGCTACCTGAGCAAATGGTTTCACTTTAAATTCATAATGGTGAATCTTGAATGGGTCCTCCATACTGCTGGAAATCCTACTGTTTCTCTAAAAGCCTCACTTTCCCACAGTCTGGGTGAGCTTATGCTTCCTCTTCTCCCTCCTCTCAAATTGTCCTCACCTCGTGCTTCATTAGAAGCCACCTGGCCTGCCCTCTCTCCTGCCTCAGGCCTGCATTCCTCCTGAGGCCCCTTCCCTCTTCCACGTACTCGGGCAGAATCCCTCCAGCATAAGGCACAGCAGAATCTCCGTCTTCTCTACCACATTGCCCCTCAGCACTATTTCCCCTCTAGGTTTCCCTTCACTGACAAACTTCTGGAAAGAGCTGCCGTCACTACTTCCCCCCTCCCCTGCCCCTTCATACCCCCAAACCTCCTTTACCAGTGTCACCTCTGTGCTGTCAAATGCAACAGGCATCAGTGTCCTGTTGGATTCCACGGCATCAGAACAGTGTGTGTGTGTTTTGTGTGTGTGAGAGAGAGAAGGGGGAGGGGGGGTGGAGTGCTGCCCCTTAACCTCAGCAGTCCTCTGGTGGTTTCCATGACTCCATGTACTCCTGGGTGTCCTTTCACCTCACTGCCTGCTGCTTCTCAAGTATACCTGTCCCAGCACTTGCTGATCCCACTGGGAAATGTCAGAGCTCCTCCAGGCTCAATTCTGAGTCCTCCTCCTCCTCTACCTGACACTGTCTTCCAGGCCCTGGCCCGTAAGCCACCAGTTACAGTCTCAACTCCCAGATCGAGCCTCTACCCGGATGGTCCTGAACTCCCAACTCTCACACCCACCTGCCCACTGACAGCACCAATTAACACGTGAGAGCAAAACCAACCCTAGATTTCCACCCCCCGCTTCCCCTACATCAAATGGGACCACCACCCACCCAGGTGCTCAGGCTCGAAACCTAGAAGTCATTATCTTCACCCTCTACTTCTCATCGGTCACTAAGACCCATCAAAGTGCTAACGGCTGTCACACTAATCTAAGCCCCTCCGTCCTTCTCAGGACCACTGCAATGGCATTCCTGCCCTGAACATCCACTTCCCACAGGCAGTAAGAGTGAGCTTCTTCAAACACACTCCCAGCTAAATCACTCCTCTGAAAAACCCTCTACTGGCCTCCCATTGCAACTAACGTCCGTTTTTACCCAAATTCCACTCGTGTGGCCTATAAAGCTCTTCCTGCCTTGGCTCCTCCCAGGCCAAACAGGCCCTCGCGGTGCTGCCCCAGAAAGGCACCTGGATCACCAGAGCCCAGAAGCTCTGGCAGCCGCCTACACCCTGGGGAGGCAGGCTTGTTCCCAGGGCAGTCTTCTCGGCAGACAAACAATTTCTAAAGATGTCAACATAACCCTAGGCCAGAGCATCCCTTTAAGCGACCACCTTGCAATGTTTACATCGGAAAATGCTGGAGCACTAAGTCCAAAAGAGAAATCTGCAGAGCAGAGTGGCTTTGCTCCAGAGGCTCATCCCGGCCCTTCCACGAGAGCATGAGATCAGCAGACACACAAGCAGACACAAGAAACAGAAGAGCCAAGCAAACTAGAAGCGAAGGCTGGTGAGACGCCCTTTAGAGCGGAAGCAAGGAGGTGGGGCTGGGTTGGTGTCCGGTGACACGCCCCTCCCGCTGTGCCTCAATCCCCTTCGGAACTGCGCTCACAGGTGGGGACCCCGAGCTCGGGGCTTAGCGCATCCTGAATAAGCTTCGGAGGGAGCACCAAGTGGGGTAGGGAGCCTGGGAACCCGCTCCGAGGGCAGCAGGCAGACCCTGCGGGCCACCGCGCGCCCAGACCGGGCTGACCCCGGCCCCCGAGCCGGCCGCTCCGTCGGCCTCCGCGCTCGCACCCCGGCAGGAAACACGGGGCAGAGACCTTAACCGAGACCCCGCCAGCCGCTCACCTGGGGCCGCCTCCACGTGATGTCCTCCCGGAACTGGGCCAGCGGCGTGGAGAAGCTGGAGAAGAGCGAGGAGTCCGACGCAGGGAAGGCGGGGTCCCGGAAGAGCTCCCTGGCCGGTGCACGCATCTTGGGCGCCCCGGGCTCCCATATGCAGCCCGCGCCCCAGCGCCGAGCGGGGCCCAGGGGGAGCGCAGCCCCGCGAGGGACCGAGTCGGCTGCCGGTCCCCGGGCTGGCCGACGCTCCAATGCTCCGCCAGACTCCCCACCGTGTCAGAGCCGCTGCGCGGACGCCGCGGAGCGCCGCCGCTCGGTGGGCCGAGCTCCCGAGGGCGTGGCTTCCGAGCTCGCCTCTCGCGACGCGCGCCGTCGCCCCGGCGGCACTTCTCCTTCCGGGCCGAAGGTGCCCGGAACTGTTCCTGCCGAGGTTCACCCCTGGCGAGGCTGGCGGGCGTCTTGTCCTTGGGCCTGTGCGGGTCGGGCCAGGGCGTCGGAACCGCTTGGACTCGCGGGTTATGCGGGCTGAAGGGAGCGAGAAAGCCGCCTCGGCCGAGGTCGCGCCGTGGACCACCGATCCCAGCATGCAGCGCTGCCTCCCAGAACGCGCCTCCTTCCGGCGTGCGGGGGGCGGGCCCGCCTTTGTGGGCCATGGGACTGTTTTGCCGGTGTTGTTGCGTGCTGGGTTCGTGGGAATAAGACGGCCCGGCGGCCCTGAGCGGTTTGGATAGAGCGTCAGCCTGCGGACTGAAGGGTCCCAGGTTTGATTCCGGCCAAGGGCATGTACCTTGGTTGCCAGCACATCCCCAGTAGGAGGTGTGCAGGAGGCAGCTGATCGATGTTTCTCTCTCATCGATGCTTCTAACTCTCTATCCCCTTCCCTTCCTCTCTGTAAAAAAAAAAAAAAAATTAATAAAATATTAAAATATTTTATTTTATTTTATTAAATATTTTATTTTATTAAAAATCAATAAAATATTTTTTTAAAAAAAGACGGCCTGAGGGAGGGTCTCCCCAGGCCTGGGAGGCTGTCTCAAGGCGGCTTGGGACCAGAAGTTGGGTCCCGAGCATCCGCCTGGTCCCCAGGTGGCCGGCTTCTGGTACTGGTGGGCTGGGCAGGGATCTGCTGGGCGTGCGGTTACAATGGTTACAACGCGCGGCCGCTCAGTGCTGCCGAGAGGTGAAGACTGATTTCTCGACTTGCTCAAGGACTCACTTTCGCTGCAGGAACCAACGTGTCGCAGTCCCCGTTCCCTGGAAGGAAGACGGCCAGCCCCTCCGAGCTGCTTCACTCTGCCTTCACAGAGGGTCGGGCAGGGGTTAAGCGGGCCTTCTAGTGACAGCTCTCTGCCTGTTAGGGCTTCTCCTACTTTGCACCCCAGGCCGCTTTTACCCATCCCCAATATGAAGGGTGGTCAAATCAGAGTCCTAGAGTTAGGTCCCTACTGGTGGATGAAAAACAACCTGATCCAGAAGCCCCTGCCCCTGACCTTTGCTTGCTTGGAGCCCCAGGTTCGGTGACAGCTGCAGCTCCCCCCTCTGAGCGGCTGGGCAGGGCCTGCTCAGGTAGCAGCTGCTAGTGATAGCATGACATTGTGTTACCTTGACCCCCCTAGGCCTCAGCCCCTTGATTTGCGGGCCTAGGGGACTCATCTCTGCTGGGGTTCTACAAAAGGGGTGGCCACATTGCCCAACACCCCTCCGGATGCTAGGGCTTACTTCAACCATTCAAGACCCCCATGGCGCTAGCTCTCACAGAAGATGATTCCCACCCCATGGCGGGCTGGAGGCTGTCCTGTAGCTGAAAGAAATCAGGAAAGGCCAGGGCTCTGCGTCCTCTGGGGGTCCTGAAAGAATAAGAGACATTTTTTTCCCCTGGGGTGCTGGGCAAGTGATTTGCCCCAGGTAACACATAAGTGTGGGGCCAGCTCAGGATCTGGGCTCCTAAGTTGGGGGCTCTGTTGTGCCACTTACCCAGGCTTGCAAGCTGTGTCCTGAACAGGGCCCTTGCTCAGAGAAGGGGCCTGGGGACAGCTGGTGCTCGGTAGGCAGCAGCCCAGGCCTGCAAGGGTCAGGTGAGTGACCAGCACTGAGATGGCATTAGGCCACTTCTCCTGTCAGCCTGCCTGGCACAGCTTGTCCTGGACCACCCTTGCCCCATATGCCCCGTGTTCCTCACCCTTGGGTGGAGAGATGCTCCCTCAGCCAATTAGGAGCCCAGGCCCCTCTGGCTCCTAGGTATCAGGAGGAGTTGGAAACAGCCTGGGATGGTGGGACAAGAATCTTCTGAAGGAAGCTAGTTCTGGAGCCCAGAATCCACACTGGGACAGTAGTTATTTCAAATCTGAGCCTCAGGGCCCTCACTGGGGTGGGACTCTTCCCCACCCCCAAGTGCTATTTGAGGGTTGCAGAGGCCCTGTGGGATTGCAAGGGGATGGTCAGTGAAGGTCACGGTCCTGGGATGTGTGAAGGTCCTGGTTCTGGGCTGTGGGAGTGAGGGCCACAAATCAGGATGTCTCAGCTGGGGTGGGGAGGGGAAGTGGGTCCTGGAAGCTTGGGTCTGTCCCCTTCCCCTGCCTTCAGAAATCTTGCATGTAGGACTGGAACAGGGACCATCTCAGTCTTAAGAGCAACCATGGGCGGTTCTGCAGAATTGAGGGTTCCACCCCTGACTCTGGAGCTGGGGACAGGTCCAAATGCCCCAAGAGCTCAAAGGGTCAAACTCATTTGAAACGATGAGACGGTGAGTTTGTACGATCCTCACACATCCCACAGGTCCCATTCCACAAACGGAGCTTCGAAGGGAGGAGAGGGCAGCCCAGCACATTAGGATGCCAGCCTTCCCAAACCAGGCAGACCTTGTTCACTTTGCTCATTGCTGTGGGAGAAGTGGATTCTTTTGGGGTCATGTTTTAGATTAAGTTTCAGGTTTTTTTTTTTAAAAAAACTCCATTATAAAAATAATATGGAAGCACGTAGTCTGTTGAGATCTCACTTCCAGGTGTAGCCTCTTGGTTCAAATAAATTTTTATAAAAATTTAAAAAATACATGCTCCTTATAGGATTCCCTCCCCCTCCCCCTCCCCCTCCCCCAATACACACTATTGCTCCCAATGGTCACATGTTAAATTCTATTATGAACACAATGCAGGTAATCCCCACAGTTGACTCCTGTTCTTGAAGTGAGCACATGTCAGATGTAGGCTGCTCTGTGCGTCATGGATGCTGCTGTAGTCACTGCGGACTGGAATCTTTTCCCCTCCCCTTACCCATTTATTTTTGAACAAAGAGGCTTGTCTGGGGTGGGTGGTAGTGATCTCTTTAGCATCCTGCCCAATCCCATTAAAGCCCCTCTGAGGTACTGTGCTGGGCCGGGGCTATGGGCAGCCTGGCCATGCCCCACATTTAGCAATCACTTCCCTGCTCTGAGGCTTCAGTTCTCCCTGTGTCTGGCCAGGTGACTATTTAGAGATGTCAACCAATGGTCCTTGGTGCCAATTTCATGTTGACAAGAATCCCTAGTTTGGGGTGCAGTGAAGAAGGGGACGTTGTTCAGTGCAAGATAGCCCAGTGTGCATGGCTATGAAGACAGCATGGTTGTGAGGTAGCCTTGGGGTCAGGACCCTCTCTGGCTGAACAGCTATGCCGTGCTCCTTGTGGGTCTGCTCTGCTCTGGTGAGAAATCTCTAGTGTTTCAGGGGGAAAACTCAATCTTCAGTGGAAATTAAGTTACCTCTGTGGCCCTGGCCCGTGTGGCTAAGTTGGTTGGGTGTCATCCCATGCACTGAAAGGTTGCTGGTTCAATTCCGGGTCAGGGCACATGCCCGGTTGTGGGCTGGGTCTCTGGGTGGGGAGCATACAGGAGGTAGGTGATTGATGCTCTGCTCTCACATCTACGTTTCTGTTTCTCCTTCTCCCTTTCTCTCTTAAAGAAAAAAGTGGCCCTAACCGGTTTGGCTCAGTGGATAGAGCGCTGGCCTGTGGACTGAAGGGTCCCAGGTTCGATTCTGGTCAAGGGCATGCACCTTGGTTGCGGGCACATCCCCAGTAGGGGGTGTGCAGGAGGCAGCCGATTGATGTTTCTAACTCTCTATCCCTCTCCCTTCCTCTCTGTAAAAAATCAATAAAATATATATATTTTTAAAAAGTGCCCTCTCTGAGCCATAGGGGAGCTGGCTTATACCAACACAGGTCCCTGTCCCTGGTCCCTGAGTGTTCCATCCTCAAGCAAATGAGGACTCCAAATTTTTGTGATTCAATTGGCCCAAAGGCACTATTCCAATTGATCAAAATGGAGCTGCTCTGATTGGTCAATAAAGAAGCTGATGCGATATTGCTGTGCAGTTCTGATTGGATTGGGAAAGCCTCAGTCCTCTTGGTCAAAATAGGATTCCAAGGGCTGGCTCAGATGGCAGGCATGGTGCAGGCAGGCAGCTCAGTGCAAATGCAGGTAGTTGAGTGCAGGCTGCTCACTGAAGTGCAGTTTTCATGAGAGGCCTCAGTTTAGAAATGGCCGTTAGGCTCCGTATTTTGTTTGTTTGTTTGTTTTAAATTTGAGCCCAGTCAGCGACCAGGAGCCCTTCTTTCTCAGAGTCCACAGAAAGTAGGAAAAATGCATAGCCTTAAGAGCTAACATCAGATTCTTCTAAATAAAGGCAAGTCTGTGTCAGGAAAATACCTTTTGGGTATGTGAGTTGCCCGGGGCATGGCTGCTGCAGGTGTCTCAGCCTGGATGTGGAGGTGTAAGAGGGAAGGGGAGGCAAGTCAGTGGCTAAGGAAACGAGGCTGGGATCCGGGTGGGTGAGGGCCAACAGAGAAGTCACCTGGGTGTGGAATGAAGGACATGTTGAGTGAGGACACCTTGATCATTTTGAACTTTTCCGTGTGGATTTTTCTGTCTCCCTATGACTCTCAGGTCTTCAGTAAATCCTCTGACAACTTCCTGTATACTTTCCCTTCTCAGAGCCCCCTTGCTAACTCTAGCATTTGTCTTGCTATTCCAGCCCATGCATCCAGTCTTCATTGTGACCATTTACTGGCTTTTCATTTTTAATAATTGTCCCTTAAAACATTTCAAGGTCTCTGGCAGGTTCTTTCACACGCCCTTTGTTTCACCAATGCCTATCCCTGTCCATGGCTTATTTCCAGCCCCGCATGTGGCTGAGATTTTAACGCCTTGGATTGGAAAGTCCTCGTCTGATTCCTCGACTGGCTGACTGCTCAGCTGTTGGTTTGGTGTGTTGAGTGGCTCTCCTTCCAATACTTCACTGCTTCTCCCGTGAGCCGGATCTTTAGGTCGGAAGTTTCCAGTTCTGCCCAAGGCATCTGACCTAGAACAGGGGGACTTACACTAGTAAAAGTTGGGGGTGGTGTTGGGAGAAAAGTACCCCAGGGATGAGGCTGGACTGCACAAGACATGGCCTGTGGGACACAGGAAACCTTATCTGGACCCTCGGACCCCGAGAGGCTGCGGGCAGTGCAGGCTCTACATGCAAATTGCATCTCCCTCACCCTTCCTCAGGCTTCAACTCTCCATCCTGCCTCATGGAAGCCATCTGGCCTAGGTCCCACCTCCCTGGGCCCCAGCAGATCTGATATTCAGACCCTCCCCCAGCTCCATCGACACCACCCTCCTGCTGCCTCAGTACTCAATTCTGTCCCGCAATATATGAGGTGGGAGTGGTTGCATGAGGCCAGTGTGAACAGAAGGGGTGCATGGTCCCCACGTGTCCAATCACCAGTGTGAGCCCCTTGTTTATCTGTGGTTAGGTGCTTGGAATGTTTGAGATGTACCATCATCCCTCAGTCTGGTTCCCTGAGGACCCAGTGCCAGGAAGCCCCCACCCCACTGCTGGCCTGAAGTGAACAAGTAGCACAAGTGAGAAATAAACCCGGGAGGCTGAAATCTTGGTATCTCAGAGTTGTCTGTTGCTGGAGTGTACTTTAGCCTGCGTGGTATGGAAAGCAACCCCTTGGCGAGGGTGCTACTCTAATACTCAGGATGTGTGCTGCCGGCTTGGGGGCTGGCTGGGGCCCATTACTGAAAGCAGGAATGCTGCAGCCGAGGAACTTGTGGGAAAACAGCTGTGATGGCTCATGAGACCGATGACGTCCTGAATAACTTGGTCTGGTGAAGAGGTTGGGAAACATTAGCACGTGTTGGTCACAGGCTGCATTGGGGAAGATACTACTAAGAAAAGATGGTTGGAAAAGTATTCTGGGTTTGTAAGCTGGGAGGAAAGGAACTGAGAAAAGCTAGGGATGCAGGGACCCCCGGGCTAAGAGCACCCTGCTGGCCCCAGAGGGCAGATCAAGGTCCAGGACAACATCAAGGATATGGGTGTGGTTACTTCTGTTATGACAGCTGAGAGCTGCTTCTGAGCTGTCCAAAGTCCATAGAGGCTGTCAGGGTGGGCCCCTCTCAGCAGTGACCATCCAGGAGGGCTGCAGGCCCATAGGACTGGAACCAAGCGCATGTTGAGGCCACCACTTTGTGAGAACTGAACTGCCAAAGAAACTCAGAGCCAGGACTGAAAGTTTGGGACTAGAGACTTGCACACAGCCTTGGCAGGGGAGAGGCTGAGCAGTGCAACCCCCAAGGAGGGCTTCTTGGCCAGAGCCATGTTCAGAGGCCAAGAAGACAGGATGAGGATGGATCCCTGAGGGTGGAGCCAAGGCCCCAGAGCTGCCCATTCCTGGGACAGGGTCCCTTGCAGCACCTGCCTGGCAGGACAGGGGCTGCTAGGCACCTTGTCCTCCTCCCCCAGGATGTTGTTGCAGTGGCCTGGTCTCTGTTCCCTGTAGGGAGGGTGAATGTCCTTGGGTTGAGTGAAGTCCCACCCGGCCCTGGTGCAAGGCTGGTACATGGACCCCCATTCCTGGAGACTACTGGTATGGGCTTGTGTCACGACTGGGTTGGGGGGCACCTCCAGGGGAGGGGGGTCTGAAGCGCAGGGAAAAGTCAATGGGACATCTGGTGACCTGGGGGCTGGATGTGGTGACACCAGGGTTGCTGGCCTGCCATTTCCCGTCCCATGTCCTGGCCCCTTGTGAAAAGGAAGCTCTGGGCCTGAATCTGGCCAGTGGGTTGGGTAACATGTCACTTTGGACCAGAGCATGTAATCCTGACATGAGACCTGTAACCAGATAGCACTGCTGCTCTGTTGGCCTGAGCCCAGCCGCCACCCTATAAACTCAGTGGCTGCATCATGGCCACAGCCCACAGCTCAGCCGTTCTTTTGGTGACGGCCTGAGTGGGAGTCCCCAACCTTAGTGCCTCTTCTGATCCCCCTCTGTACCACAGCCTCTTCAGGACCTACTCTAGTGGCCGTCACAGCCCTGCCCCCACCCTGTCTCGCTCCTCTGAGGAAACACCCCACCACTCACCTCTCCCTTTTACTCCTTTGGGGTGGGGAACCACCGCTGAGAAAGGCCCAAAGGGTGGTGACAAGTGGCCTACCTTTGTTTTGGTGTCTGAGGGTCGAATGGGGCGCCCCGAGGCCTGGTCTAGGAGCAGGGAAGGCTGGCCCTTAGAGCCCAGAGGCTGCAGGGCAGAGTCAGATGGCCGGGAGTGGCTGGAGTGCAGAGGAAGACCCTCAGCCCCATCCAGCATCCTCCTGCCTCTGGCTAGGGGCCTATGTATCTGAGGATGGGCTTCGACCAGCTCCTGACCTCGCCTCAGAGCACTCAGGCAGATGCAAAGGACAAAGGCCGGGGTGAATACGCTGGGAGGTCGTTTTCAGAGTGGAGGTTTAATGGGATATCACGGCGACCCTGTCACAGAGGTCTTCTGGGTGGCCCAGCTCGGAGCGTGGGGTCCCCAGGCCTCTCCCAGCACGGTGGGCCTAAAAAGAGCACCAGCACCACCCGCTACCTTCCCTCCGGGCACAGTTACACTAGCCCAGCAGCCACAAGATAGACATCCTGTCCCACATCCCCTGGGGCCCAGGGCCCCCTGTTCCCTGAGGGGCTAAGGCTTTCCAGGGGCCCTTCCCCAGGGATGTCCATTCTCTCCTCAGTGTCCCCTGCCCCCACACTGAGGGCGTGTCTGCATCCTCGACCCTCTGCCAGGGGCCAACTGAGGCTGCTCACCCCAGGTTCGGGGTGTAGGGCTCTGCAGGAGGCATGCTGTGGGGACAGCGCAGCTCAGGCCTCCCAGCAGACATAAGGCACAGTGTGGTGGTCGCTATGGGACTGTGGGGCCGTCACCCCAGGGGCAGAGCCCGGCAGTCAGTGTTGAGACAGAAGGATGTGGCGTGTGCTGGCTGCTCTGGGGCCTGCAGTGCAAGAGAGCTGGGGGGACCATGTCCACGGGCCTCGGCTGGCCACGAGGAAGTCCCTGGGAGAAGCCACAGGAGGGGCATGTGTGGGCCCAGGCAGAGCTCGTGGCCAGAGCCGATGTGCAGTCATGGCAGGCCTGGGCCACAGAAGGCACAATTGTGGTGTCTGGGAGGTCTGGGCTAGGCAGACACGTTGACGTCCCTGAGAGCAATGGCGCTGCTGGGGGCCTCGTCCCCGAGCAGCAGGGCAGGCGTGTCCACGTCCCCCTCGGCTTCTGCTCCAGCACCACCCTGCTCTGCACTGGGCTCTGCGCTGGGACCCAGGCCCTGGGTCAGGATCTGCTGGATGGTCCTGCGCAGGTTGGGGTGCAGCCGGCCCTGTGTCTGGTAGAAGACTTCCAGCGCAAAGGACTTGAGGGCACCAGTGCAGAGGTCCTCATACAACGGGATGGTGTACATGCGGGACATCTGGGTGGGGGGACATGGGTCACACTGGCTGCTCTCCTGCCCCTCCTGCAGCCCACCTGCCCTGGGCCCAGACTCTCAGTGCCAAAGGGAGGGCCCCTGTTAGCCTCTCACCCCCATTACAAGCCTTCTGCAGAGGGAGCTTGGGCTGGGGGCACTGATGGGACAGGGCAGCAAGGCCCCTGTAGGCCTGGAACCATTAGGCTTCTGAGAAGCTCAGATGCCCCTGGTGCCCAGGCTAGGAGCTCAAATGCCCATAGGCCAGGGCTAAGTGGGCCTAGACCTCCAGACTGCTCCCAGCGTGTCCCCTCCAGACACAGCCTCCCAAGGACTGGGACGGGGGGGGGTCTGGACTCTTCCCATCTGGTACCCACCCCACTGCCAACCCAGATGCCAAGTCTTCCCCACCCCATTCTCTGGGATGTCCAGCCTGAGCAGCCAGACTGGAGGGTCAGGTGAGGCGGTGAGGGTAGGAGAGGCAGGGGCCCATGCAGGTGACCACACCTGGCTCTCGAGGAAGCGCCGGACCCGGTGGAGGTCAGGGTAGTAGTCATTTCGGACTACGATCTGCAGCCAGCGGATGCGGATCTCAGCGTTCATGGAGTCCAGCAGGGAGGAGTAGCACTTGGACAGGCTCATCACCACCTCTGCGGGGCCAAGGGCAGGTCAAGGCTGGCAGGCACACCCACCCCCAGCCACCCTAGCAGCTCCAGGACCCACCCTGGGGCAGCGGGGAACCATCCAGCAGCCTGTCCAGGAAGAGTGCCGTCTGGAAGGTCCTCCACTTGGAGATGTCGATGGCGCTGGCTGAGGCAGCTGCCTGCTCCAGGGGCTCTGCGGTCCACAGTCGGAAGAGGGCCTCCACGGGCCGGGTTAGGCTGGATCCCTGAGACAGGTCTGGCTCGGCCAGCGGCGGCCCCGTGGCATTGAGCCAGCGCTCAAACTCCAGCCCTGCAGGGAGGTGTGATCCTGGGGTCCCCACTGGGCTGGGAGGGGCCATCCAAGGCCTGCCCAGGAGTCCCCAGACCATGGGGGTATCCCTAGGCATGACTGTTCCAGAGCCCAGAAGCCCCCAAGGCAGGGACAGTGTGGGGAGGCTGGAGTCAGCACTAGCACCTGCCACTTCAAGGCACCAGACTGGCTTCTGTCAAGGGGGCACAGGGAGGCCAGAGGCTCCAGTTGATGAGTAAGGGACTCCAGTCCCCCCTGCTTCTCCTAGACACAAGACAATGGGGCACTTAAAACCCAACCTCAGCACTGAGGGGTAGCGGTCTGTGTACCATGCTGATAAAGCGACATTCCTGCTTTAAAGCCCTAGTACTGGCAGCTGTGGGGGCAGGCTCTGCCCCCCCCCCCCCCTCCAAAAGCCCTTGGTACACTTAACAAACCTTCCCAAACAGGTCCACCCCACCCAGAATGCCCAGCCACACCTCACTGCCCTTCAGCAAATCTTGGCCTCTCCTATACCTCAGACCCCTCCTTTCATCTCTAAGCTCTCATACCCCCAGGGATACCCTCATGGGTGTCAAGCAGGCCAGTGGGCTTCAGCGAGCTCTGAGGCAAACCTCCCTCCACCCTGCCAACCCTGCCCAGGCCCTTTGCACACACCGTTTTCATGGCCCCCCTTCTGTGACTGCCTAAACAGGTTGGCTTGGCCCAAGTGCCACCTCTTCCTGGAAGCTCCCTGGGCTCTACCAGGCTGGGAAGCACACCCTGGCCTCCCAGCCTGAGGCTCACACTGTCCAGGGAGGATGTCGGAAGGAAGGATGGATGAACCTGTGGGACTTTCTCCAGGAAGAAGTGGCATCCTGTGCAGGTGCGGTCCCCCACCCCCCTCACACCAGCACTCCCCTCGTGCTGGCCTCACCTGCCCGGGAGTCCACACTCTGCTCCTTCAGCTCTGGGAAGAAGCTCAGAAAGGAGTCCAGAAGGTCCTGGGCCACCACACTGGTGAACTTGTACTTCTCCACGTAGGCCTGTGAGGGTGGGACAGAGCTCAGCAGGCCTGGGGACTGGGCAGGGACAGGGGCAGGAGGGACAGGACCTGTCCAGGACGGGGCTGCTCACTCGAAGGAAGTCGTCAAAGCGCTGGGGGTCCCCACAAAGCTGGGACAGGTAGTAGACGAAGCAGTAGCCCTTCTCGTAGGTGAACAGGTTCATCAGGTGGCTGGGGTTCACCCCTGAAACAACACTGGCGCTAGGTCATGCCCCCCCTCTATGTTCCGGGGAACAGGCAGAGGTGGTCAGGTGAGTGGAGCAAGAAGGGCCAAGGGCCACTGTTCCACATGAGTCCAGAGGCCCTGGTAGGGGGAGGGCCCACCCACCATGGTGACAAGTGCTCAGAGCCCATGAAAGGCGGTGATAGGCTGAGGGAGCCTCGGGAGGCGTTCTTGGGGTTGGGGTCCCCTGGCTTGGCATTTGCAGGGACTCAGCCATGGTGGGGCTAGAGCAAGCATAGGGCGGGAGAGAAGGCTGTGGGGTGACATCTGCAGAGCCTGGAGTAGGGCCTGGAGGGAGTGTGTACCTGGCTCCAGCTTGACTTGCAGCTTGCTGACTGGGCTATCCTCTCCAAGGAGTTTCATCTGCCTATGCAGGGCATCCAGGCGGAAGGCCGTCTCCAGACAGGTGAAAGCAGCACCTGATGGTCACAGAGGCAGGGGAGGCGGGAGGAGAGGGGGCAGGCCTGAGCACAGAGCAGGTGTGAGGCTGTCCCCGCCCTGAGCCTTGTGGAGCTGACCCAAGGCCACCTCCCTGGACACACCGTCGCAGGGGCCTGCACCCTGGAGGCTGGGCTGGGCTGCAGTGCCTGGGACAGCCCTGGTGGTGCCAGCCAGCGCAAGTCCAGAGCAGTGCCCTCACCTCCCGTCCCCTGCCCCTGGGCTGGCTGCAGGCAGTACCATAGGTCTCGGTGGTGATGCGGCGCTGGGCATAGGTGGCCAGGCCTTCGCTCAGCCACATCTCTTCCCACGTGGCATTGGTAACGGCATTGCCAAACCAGCTGTGGGCCACCTCGTGGATGACATCAATGACCAGGAACTCGTCACACTCCAGGATGGAGGAGATGACAAAGGTGAGGCAGGGGTTCTCCATGGCCACGATGGGGAAGGAGGGGGGAAGGAAGACGATGTCGTACCTGCCCCAGGAGGGAGGGTAGGCCGGTGACCGTGAGAGGGTTGGGGATCTGGGTGGTGAGTGTCACTTCCTTTCCAGAAGGTCAGACAAGGCCCCCCCTCCCCAGTTGCTCCTGGGTAGGATGTGGATTTGCCCTCTGACCCCTCTTGTGGCGTGCCAGGGCTCCCAGGTGCTCCAGGACATACCTGCCCCACATATACGGCCCATACAGCCGCTCGGCCGCACTCAGCCACTGCTCCACCACGCCTGACAGCTTGCTGGTGGCCATGGACAGGAGGCACGGTTCGGCCCACACACGGCTCCTATCACAGCAGGGAGAGCATGGGCTGAGGCTCACTCTGCCCTGCTCACCCCACCAGCCCCTCCCTCTGCTTCTGGGCTCAAGTACCACCCATGTCTTGTCCAGCCCGCTCCTGCCCACCCTCACCCCTTGCCTCACTGGATGGCCACCATGCAGGCCCTCTTGTGGTAGGGGCCAAGCCAAACATGGAGGGGCTGCTTGGTTCCTTTTATCTCTAAGTAGAAGGAACCTGTGTGGGCTTAAGAAGGATGCCCGGTGGTCAGGGGCCAGGCTGCCAGGTCTGGGGGTATGTGGGGTGAGTGGAGCCTGGCAGGAATGGCCCAAGGCCATGGCAACAAAGCAGAGCTGGTCTCCACAGTGTGGGACCTCCCCAAGGCCAGGGACTCAGGTAGCAGCAGCAGCTGCTGCAGGAAGCAAGACTCAGAGACTCTACCTGGGCCCAATGTCTGCCGGCTGCAGGTCCCCGGCCACCAGGGCCACGAGGTAGGCGGGGACGGGGTGCTCCATGTGGAAGTGGTAGACGCCCTCCTCCTCCACGTAGGTGCTCTTTGTGGCACTCATCAACACCTGCACCCCCGACGGGGCCTGCACATGGGAGGCCCCACCCATCAGGGCACCTACAACTCAGATCAGGCACCCCAAGTCCCCAGTAGAAAATCCTACAACCCAGGTAGGAAAAACCCATATTCATGTAGGAACCCCACAATCCCTCAACAGGGCACACCGCAACTGAGGTTAGGGAGCCCAGTGTTCTTAATGGGGGACCCCATGCCCTCTGTCAGGGTACCCACAAACTGGGTCAGAGAGCCCCACACCTGTCAGGGAGCCCATCACTCCATAAGAGAACCCCCATGCTAAGCTCCTGGTCTGCAAACCTCTTGCCCCCCTGGGTGGGGGCTGCCACCCTCAGGCCCAGGAGCCCTGGCCCCTACCAGGGGACCTGCAACTCCATTTGAGCCTCCTTCTCAGGGTCCTTTGCTCATTCCAGGGCCAGGGCCCCAATCATCAAATAGCCCTCTCTCTGAAGAGTAACCCTTCCTCCCCACCCCCCTCCCCCCAGTGAGGAGGGTGGGGTCCTTCTAGGAAGGTGATCCCGCTTGGCCTGGGTGGAGTGAGAAGGCCAGGTGGGTAGGTGTTGACCTTGACTACGGCTGAGTAGGTACACTTGACAGCGGGTGTGTCAAAGCAGGGGAAGAAGGAACGGTTGCAGACAGAGTGGCCTTGGGTGAAGACGAAGGGCTTGGCACTGCCGTAGGTCAGCTCGGGGTCCAGCCACCAGATCTGCAGACAGGCGACAGGCAGGGCATCAGCGGACACCCTCCCCACCACAGTGGGCCCAAACCTGCTGTCCTGCTCAGGCTTCTAGGCCCAGAGCCTCTAGAGGAAGGACCCAGGGGGCTGGGAGGCAGTGGGTGGCCTAACCAGGCTCACCCAGGGCCAACAGCCACTCCCAGTCATTACCAGGCAGGGGGGCATGCATCCAGAAGCCAGCCTGTGCCCCTCACCCCAGCCTCCAAAGGGAAACCAAGGCACAGTCAGAACACCCGAGTCCAAATTCTCACAGGCTAGCCGGCAACAAATCTGGTCTCGGCCCAGAAAGGGAGTCAGGACATGGAAACGGGGAACGAGAGCTTCCTGATGATCCCCACACGAGCAAGCACTACAAGCTTGGGGTCGCCCCTGAGAATGGGATCAGCCTCGCCGGGAAGGAACCCCCACAAGGAAGATAAGCTCCAGACCAGGGGACGGTGGGCCGTAAGCTGAGGCCAGGCACTCAAAGAGGACAGGCAGGACAGAAGTGGCCATGGACAGGGCCACGGGGGCCTGTGCCTGGAGCACTATGGACAGATCCCACAGCAGCCTGTGAGAGGCTGTCTCCCCTGCAGACCCCTGCCAAATGCTCACAGACTTCTTCAAATCTCCCTTTAGCTGCTGTGTCTCTGTCCCCTCACCAAAGAGAGCCCGCAGCAGTAACTTGCTGAACCCCCATGGCTGCCCCATTGGTTCAGGAGCCCTGTCTTGAGAGCCTGTTAAAACATGCAGACTCCTGGGCTCCGCCCCAGAAGATTCCCAACTGGGACCCAGGAATTTGCATTAAGGAGATGCCCTCCAGTGGAACATACTGCAGGCAGCCCTCTGTCCACCCTCCATTAGTCCCCCAAACTCCCTTTAACCCTACCACCACCACCTCTCACGGACCCCTTCCCTCACCTCCCCTGTAGCCCTCCTTGGGCTCTACCCAGCTCAGACCCCCTGTCCCCACTGCCCACATCCACCTCTCAGCCCAGTGGGCACTGCTCACTCCTCAGCCTCAGAGACCAATGGGGTCCACAGTCCTCCCTGGAAGTCAGGGGCTGGAGCAGACACCCAGGTAGGCAGGACCCCACCTCAGAGGGGGCCACAAACTCCTAGGGTGCACAGGGCCAAGGAGCTGAGGTGTAGGTGCTGATTGGCTGGAGAAGGAGCAGGTCCAAGGGCTCCAGACACCACAGGGCAGGAAGAGAGTCCTTCTTGCTGGTGGGTGGGGTTCAGGAATGGGGTACAAGGAGCATGGGCCCCAGAGTCTGCACCCCAAACTGCCTCCCAGGGAGCTGCATATTAACTTGGCACAAGGACAGGCTCTGAGCCCTGGGGCATTCACACATGATGGTGGGAATTGAGGACAGACATCAAAACTCTGTCCTCCACAAGTAGACCAGTTCATGGGCCAGGTCCCTGTGCTCCAGCCCACAGCCCCAGAGGTGCACAGACTGGGGGCCAAGCTGCCCCTCCCTATCTGAGCACCCAAGGGCCCCACAGCAAGCCATAGAAAGCCCAGGGACAACAGCCACCCTTGCTGGCCTAACTCCATCCCCACTGGGCTGTTGAAGGCCGATTCCACTACTCAGCTGGCCACGGTCTTGGGTGAACCAGACACACGGGCTCTAAGTTCATATAACAAGGTTAGAGAGGAGCACATCCCTCTAGTTCTCACTGCTGTGCTGGGAGGCATATCTGTCTGAGCCCCAGACCACCCCAGCATGCCACAGGGGCCATCCCAGCATGCCGCAGGGGCCATCCCAGCCACCAGTGGCCAGCACACCTGAGAGAGCTCAGGGAAGGAGGGGAGGTGGCAGGGCCTACTACGTGCTCTGGGAATCATGCAGGAAGCCCAAAGTTATGTGTCTGGTCCAGGACCTTTCTGTCCAGATGTCACCTTGGTGGCTACTGGCCTAATGCCTGAACACCACCTGTCCATCATCCTGTCCCTATGCACGCCATGGGCAGTAACAGACGGAACCTCCTGGGGCCTTCCAAAGCTGTATACATGGTGTGTGTGTGTGTGTGGAGGGGGGTGGTATCACATGTGTGCTGTCCACATGGGAGCCCAGGGCCATCTAGCTTTTCTGGCAGAGCCTCTGGGGCAGTGGGAGCTCTGTGCCCAAGTCCTGCAGAGCTTACATGTGTCTGTTGGGGACATACACAGGGCCACTCCGCTACAGCATCCTGCCAGTCCTCACTCAGGAGGCCCAAAGCATTAGAGCCAACCTGGCCCTCAGCCTCCTGTTCCACCAGTTCTGCCCCTCATGCCACCTCCAGAAAACAGACCTGGTGTCCACAAGTCCTCAGAAGGCCCAAGTCACACGGAGGCCCTTCCACATCTGACACCCCTGGTCTGCCCTTCAGTGCTAGGCTCCAGCAGATTCATGGCTTGGCAAGTGCTGCCCTGTCTCTAGGCAGGGCCTGTCCCTACACAACTGAAAGGAGAGGCCTCCCTTGGTGGCATGCTGTTACTGGGCCAGCACTTGGGCTCTCACTCTGTCCAAGCCTCCTATGGACTCTCCAGGCACCTGTACAGGATTCCAGGACCAGGTTGGGGAGTGCCAGATGAGAGGCCAGTGCCCCTCTGGGGCCAATCTGTCCCTGTCTCCCTGCAGGTGCCCCAGCCTCAAGTTCAGTTCCCTAACCTGGCAGAGTGGGAAGAGGCTGCCTGGAGACGTCCCCATGACCAGCCCACCGCCCTGGAGCCCACCCGGTCGGGACTCACGGCAGGGGCGTCGGTCGAGGTGTAGCGCAGGATGACCTGGAAGGGCTGGTGCGCCTGCAGCTCAGGCGGCAGCGTGACGGTGAGCGAGGAACCATAGTCGGTGAATGGGTCCACCCTGAAGGCCAGCGGGCAACAGGAGGGCTCGGCTCCGGGACCCTCGGGGAAGGCGGGCAGCGGGGGCGGGGGCGTGGACCCGGGTCCGGGGGTGGCGAAAGCAAAGGCGCAGGGCGGCTCGGCGGCGGTGGTGGCGTTGGGGGCACGGCGGAAGGCGGCCGAGTGCAGGCGCAGGGCCGGGTGCGTGTCGAGCACGAGCGCGCGGGGCGCGGGCCGCAGCGCGCACAGCTCGAGCACCAGGCAGCCGGCCAGCTCGCGCGCCTCGGGCCGCAGCTCCAGGCCCAGCTGCAGGTGGCGGAGGCGGAAGAGCTGCGCGCTGGAGGCCGAGGCCACGTCCAGGGCGGGCGGCGGCTCCGGCGGCGGGCGGGCGGGCGCGGCCTCGGCGCCGGGCGCCTTGCGGCAGCAGCACTGCGCCGCCATGCCGCCACCCTAAGTGAAATCCATGGGCGGCTTCGCGCCTGGCCGCGGGGAGCCGGCGAGGGGTGCCGGGCGGCAGCGGCGGCGGCGGCCGGGCGCAGGCACAACAGGAAGTCGCGCTGGGAGCCGCCCGGCCCGGCCCCGCGCCGTGCGCCGCCCCGCTCTGGCTCCGCTTGGCCGCCGCCGGGGGCGCTGTGCGCGGGGGACCGGGTAGCCGGGGACGCTGTGAGCGGGGGACCGGGTGGCCGGGCGCGCTGTGTATAGGGCGGAGAATGGCGAGCGGGAGGCGCTACTCACGGGTGTCCTGGGCGCTGTGCGCTGTGCACAGGTGGCCCGGGCGCGGTGTGTGGGATACCGTGGGCGCTGTGCGCCGAGGGTACTGGGAGCCCGATGCTTTGCGCGGAGCTGAGGAGCTGTGCTGGGGGCGGGATGGGGAGTGGGGCTCTGTGCGCAGATGGCCTGGCACAGTGCACGGGGTTGGGGATGGGGTAGTGAGCCGGAGCTGGCGGCCCAAGGGCGTTGTGCTTGGAGGACCGGAGTGCACAGGGGCCAGGGTGTGACAGGCGGCGAAGTGGCCTCCCTGCCCTGTGGGCTTCCACGTCCAGGAGACCACAGGAGGCGCGCTCCCTCAGGGACTCTGCCGGCCAGGTTCCTGGGGCTGTGGCTGCTGAGACACCTGGAACAGGGCTGCCTCTGTGAAGCCGAGAAATGCAGCGTCTGGAACTCAATGTTATTCATCTATTGGGGGCTGAGGGAGTGATTCTTATATTCCCCCCAACTCACTGGCGAGACCAGTAGCCCTGTTCTGGGACATGTAGGGTGAGGCGAAGCTCAGGGGCCTTAAAACTGTACTGCCAGTTCAGGTGGCCACTAGCTATGAAGGTTCAGCTCCTCAGTTGCCCCAGCTGTTCCAAGGTCTCCCTGTGTTTGGAGTGCAGTGTGTGGCTAGTGGCAATCACACTGGACAGAGGGTATTCCATCATGGAAGAAAGTTCTGTTGGACAGTGCTGCCTAACAGCCTGCAGGGCCCGGTAGGCCAGGTTGTTTAGTGGGTGAGTGCTGGGGCAGTAACCAGACCTGCTCCCACCCTACCTGCCCAGTCCTGGGCACCCTGGGCCCAGAGGGGACAGCTGCAGATTAGGAAGGATGCCCGATGAGAGGGTGTCACATGTACCTTGAAGCCATGGGATGAGAGGGACCACCAAGATGGTGCTGTCAGCATTGCATAAGAACTCTGGGCCTTGGGGGGGGGGGGGGGGATGGGGCTTTTTGGCCTGGAGAACACCCAGAACCCTGCACACCTCGTTCTCCTGCTCAGTTGCCATGTGGCAAGGTGTGAGGCTGGACTGAGACACTGTACTTGACTTCAGTGTCATCTCTGAGTAGTGTTGAATCCTTCTGGACTCAGTGTCCCCACTGGTAACCATGCCATCCTGCCTGCCCTCCTCCCCCAGGGGTGGGAACGGCGGCTGAAAGGGAAGATGTGTGTTCACTGATACAGAGCACATGCATTGAGGCATGTGCCATCTTATCTCGGGGTCCCAGCCTCTCTCTTGGGGCCACCCACCACAAACTCACTAGAAGCCCAGTGTTCCTGCAGTCACCTGGAGAAGGGGTGGGTCCTGAGCCAAAGACTCAATAGGGAGAGGACTGGGGTTGATCAGTCCTTGCTGTCTTCAGTGGTCCAGCACCACCTAGGTGGCAGTGGTCCCACAGTATGAGGGCAGTGTTTTAGGAGGCACTCCAGTTGACCAGCTTCTCTGAGCTCCACACCCAGGCCAGTGAGGCTGGGGCTAGATCATTAGGACTGCACATGGGCACCTGCACTAGCCTGCCCCAATTACCCTCAGGCAGGTATGTAAGTCACCTGAGCCTTTAGGGTAAGTGAACATCAGGAACTTCTTGCCCTCCTGGTTCCCTGGAGTTAGGGGTGGGGGCTGGGTCTTATCCTTCTCTCCTGGAGGGCCCTGGGCATCTCCTAGTGGCCAGTTCTGCACATAGGACAGGTGGAGTGGTGGCAGTCTTGTTGGTCCAGAGGAACTGTTACCTCCTCTGCCCCTGGGGTGGGGTCCCTTTCACCCTGCATTTATATAAGGGGGCCACACAAACCAGTCTTGGAGGAAATAGACCTATTTTTAAATATTAGTGCCTGGCTATCAAGGCACCTTATGAATTGTGAAGCTCACAGAAGTTGTCTCTACCCTGTCCCTGTCCTGCTGATAAAGGTCTGGGTGGCTGCAGTTCCCGCACCCTTCCTGACCTAACCAGGGGAGAGGAACATGGAAGTCTGGAATGCCAGAGGCTGGAGTTTTTCTCACAGGAATTTTCATACTCCAGCCTTTTGGCGATCAAATCACCCCAGCCCTCCCTAATGCATGTGATCCATGCACTCCCATTCAAGTGGCAGGGTCCAGGAGGAGAGTGGGTCCCTGGCCTCCTGCTAGGAGGTAGATGTGGAGGCAAGGGCTTACAGGAGAAGTGGCATTCAGGAGGGGCTGTGTTGTTCCTTGGACAGAGGTGTGGGGATAATTGGGAGCTACATTGGATGATTCTCAGAACAGAGCTGATGGGATAAAAAGTTGATGTGACCCACAGATGTCCTACAACCAGGCTGAACTCTGTCACCATTGTACCCGTCACCCAGAGCCAGGTCATCAGGTTAGGGGGATATACTATCAAAAGTGCCAATGGGCAGGTTCGGCTGCATCACACAGAGTAACAACCTGTCTCAGGTTTTTGCTCCTGACCTTCAAGCTGGACAGTTGCTCAACTCCCAAAGTTGCAGATGGAGCCACTAGAGCACTTGCCAAATGGAGAAGATGGCAGTAGACCCCATGGGGTTGATGAAATGGTGATGAGCTATGAGGAGTTTGGGGGGAGTAAATGAGAGCTGGCAAGTCTTCTATTAAGGTTGTAGGAGTCAGGTTATGACTGGGGCTGTGGCTCTCAGCGATGGGGGCTACTAGAGGGGCTGGGTGTGGTGGTGTATGATTTGAGTCAGGGACCAATGGATGGCATTGTTCCTGTCACAAGTTCAGGAGCAAAAGGGCTGGGGAGAGGGAGGTCCTTTTCACAACTACTCATGCCTCACAAAGTGTCAGCTTCCTGTTCCCTCAACTTTGGTCTCTGCTGGATCAGAGGTCTTCATTTCCAGGCAGGATGCTTACATCAAGGACAGACCCTGTTCCCCTGGATGTTTGCCTCACACCAGAGGCATCAGGCAAATCAGGGTTGCTCTGCTGGGTGGAGTGACTGATCATGACTTTCAGGGGCAGCAGGGTTTTGCTGCTGCTCAGTGGGGATCCGAGGGGCATGATGGAACTCAGGATACTCTCCTGATCCTTCCCAGATTGTGTGGGAAAGGAAACAGAGGCCATAGCACGAAAATGCATGCAGGGCCATGTGGGGCCCCTGCAGGATGAAGCCTTGTCATCCTACCAGGAAAGATCACCACCAGCGAGGAGTTAGCTGAAGGTGGAGGGGATACAAAATGAGTAATGGGAAAGGGAAATTACCCCAACTACAGTTATTTTACTCATTACCTTGTTATGTATATATTTCTACATATTAACCAGGAACTACAGTATCTGAAATTCACATTATAAACCTGAGAAAGAAGACATCTACTAAGAAGGGCTCCTGGTGATTAACTGGGCTCAGATTTTAAGAAAAAGAACCTAGCAGTCATTTCTACACAGAGGCCTTTCATGCAAACTGCACTTCAGGGAGAGGCCTGCACTGAACTTCCTGCCTCCACTGTGTTCCTGCCATCTGAGCCAGCCCTTACAGAGGAACTAGAGGCCCTATGCACGAAATTTGTGCAAGAGTAGGCCTTCGCAGCCCCAGCTGCCTTGGCCCTTGCAGCCCCGGCTTTGTCCAGAAGGTCATCCAGAAGGACATTTGGACTGTCGTTCCCCTATTTGGTCGATTTACATATTATGCTTTTATTATTATAGATTCCTGGAATCCTCTTTCAACCAATAGGATTGAGGCTTTCCCAATTCAATCAGTTGTCCAGCTATATCCCATCAACATCTTCACCAGCCAATCAGAGCAGCTCCATTCTGAGCAATTAGGGAAGTGTTCTTTGGACCAATCAAATTGTGAGAATTTGGGGGTCCTTATTGTATGAGGACAGACTACTCAGGGACCAGGGGCATGGCCTTCTGTCCATATGAGCCAGCTGTCCTTTGGCTCTGAGTACACTTTCCCTTTCCACCTATGATTGAAGACTGTTTTCCTGGCTGAGCTGAAACAATGAAGGTGTCTCGCTGGAGCACAGCAGAGCAGCCCAGCACAGTGCAAAGCAAACCAGCATGGAGCAGAGCAGAGCAGGGCATTGAGGAGAGGAGTGAAGTGGAGCAGAGCGAAGCAGAGCACAGTTGTCTAGCTAGAGAAGGGCCTGGTGCCAGGGCTGCCAACTGCCCTGCTGTTTTAAAACAACTATGCTGTGTTGCAATTGAGCTGTTTTGAATAGTTTCTTTCTGCACCACACCCCATATTGGGGCTTCCTGTTGGCATTGAATTGGCACCAATTATCACTTGACAACATGTATTACCCAATTTTTCCTTTTCTTTCCCCCACTACCTTATTTAGGAAGTATTGCTGGTGATAAATTTCCTAATATCTTTAGGCCACAGGTTGTCCATATGAGGTGCATGCTAACCAGAAGAGGAATGCACAGACTCAGATGTGCATGTGGCCAGTGCATTGTTGGTGTGAAGGTGGCTGCAGGAGGTCAGACTAGGGCTCAATGCTGTTGCTGGAACTGGGAGGTATGGTAAGAGGTGGGTGTGCTAGGTGGTTTGTCACAGCCTTGCACCCTCACCTGCATGTCATGGCAACTATAAGTCTGGAAACCATGGGGCCTCGCTGGCCCAATCCAGTTTTGGGTTCTGAGATAAGAGACAGGACCAGTGTGAGCCTGGGGAAAAGCCTCTACGGTTTAAGCACGTTGCAGACATGAGTTTGCCAGCAGCCCCAGGTGTCCTCCAGAGTTGTCCAAGTCACAGTGGCCAGCAGCCAATATCAGGGTGGCAGGTCTCTGTGACCCCTGAACTTCCCCATCTCCTGACGTTGGCTCCCGGCCATGATTTCCCTATAATGTCTTTCTGCCTAAAGTTCAAGTAGTTTTGATCTTCCTGACGAAGCCCAGTCTAATAAACTGGGATTGTGAATGGATTACACCAAGCATCTCAAACTCAAAGGCTAACATGGGCCACATAAACAAGGTTTAAATTTATGTGGGCCGCAAAAAAACAAAAGCTTCAATTTTCATAGAAACGTAGGTTTATTTCAATAGAGACATGCTGAATACAAAGGGCTGAAATAAATGAGTAATCATTAACATAAATAGAAAATTTTAATAAAAATTAATATTTTTCTTGAACATTAACTTACTAGATACTGAATAACGGCACAAATTAATAAGCATAACGCAAATAAACCTATTTTTCTTATTTTCCGAAAGCAAAATATTCCCTGTTGCGCACACCAAACAAGTCAGTCCAAGACTAATGACGTGGCAATCGGCTGCTGAAACAGTCCCTGCTAGTATTAGTGGAGACAAATGGTGCACCTGAACGTAAGGTGTATAAGGGAAATGAATGCAACACAATTATAGTAATGTCATTAGTGAGTGCTGTAGTTTGTTATTAATAATAGAGGCCCGGTGCACGAAATTCATGCACTGGGGGGGGGGGTCATCTCTCAGCCTGGCCTGCACCCTCTCGCAGTCCAGGAGCCCTCAGGGGATGTCCGACTGATGTCCCAAGGGGACCGGGCCTAAGCGGGCAGTCAGACACCTTAGCACTGCTGTGGAGGTGGGAGAGGCCCCCACCACTGCCGCTGTGCCCAGCTGTGAGCAGGGCTTCTGGCTGAGCAGCGCTCCCCCTGTGGGAGTGCACTGACCACCAGGGAGCAGCTCCTGCGTTGAGCGTCTGCCCCCTGGTGGTCAATGCACACCATAGCGACTGGTCATTCCTTATTAGCCTTTTTATAGGATTGTATAGAACAGGATATTGTAAAAATTAAGTTACAAAATTTTAATTAAAACATTTCTTACATACCCTTACATTGGCTGGGCCGCAAAAATATTAGTTGTGGGCTGTATGCGGTCTGAGGCCCTGAGTTTGACATGCTTGGATTACACCATCCCAGGAAACTCCCAGTCTGGCTTGGGGGTTGGGCTGACCAATCAGGGCTCACTGTGTGGAGGGCTCCGGGGTCAGGCGGGACCTAGACTGCAGGCCCTCCTCGTACTTCTGGAGCTGGGACCAGAAGCCAGGGTTGGGCTCGGCCACGGGGCGGGCGCTCTTCACGGTCTGCAAAGGAGGGGATTAGGTGAAACGCCCCGCAGCACTCGCTATAAAGTCTTCAATTGCCCACCACCAGGGGGGTGCCCCGCCCCCGCCCGGAGCCCCGCCCCTCTGAGAAGGCTCCCACCCCCGGCTCCGCCCTAGCCCACCTGAAGGACCGCCCTACCTGGAAGGCCTGCGCCAGGCTCAGGCCACGGTGCCGCATGAGGTACGCGGTGCAGACGGCGGCCGAGCGGCTGCGGCCATTCTTGCAGTAGACGAGGCAGGCGCCGCCGGCGCGCACTGCGGCCTCCATGGCGGCGCAGGTGGGCTCCAGGTGGGCCAGCAGGTCCTCGGCTGGGTCGTCGAACACGGGCACGCGCAGCTCGGCCACGCCGGGAGCGCGCGGCCCGGGCTGCTGGCGCGAGACGTTAACGCACAGGGTGACGCCCGTGCACGCCAGCAGCTCAGACGCGGCTGCAGTGCGTGCGTTCCCGAGAAAGAGCGAGGGGGCGACGTGCGCCAATGGCGGCTGTGTGGCCGGGCCGCCGCCGAGGCGTTCGGCTCCTCCGGAGTCCATGACGCGCTCAGGCATCTGGCCCGGGGGTCTATTTTGGGAAGTCTGGAGGCTGGCCCGGGTCCTAAAGGTATCCGAGGGCCGCCCGGAGCGGTCAGCATCTCGGCTGCGCACGAGCGGGTCCCGCCCACAAGCCCCTGGCCACCTCCTCATTAGTCAGGCCCTGCGGAACGCCTCCTCTGATTGGCTACGGGTGCTACGTGTGGGAGGAGCTTACCAGCAGACAGGAGAGGCGGGCTTCTAGAATTGGATGAAGGTCGCTGCGACCCGAGAGGTTCAGCTGCACCGGAGTTTGACCAGGCGGGCGGGCCAGGTGGGCTACCGCGGGGCTCGGGGAGGGGGCGTCTCAAGCTGTAGCTATTGTGCAGAGGAGCAGGGGGGCCCTGTCACAGATCCTCATCCGCACCTGACCAGTAGTCTCAATATCGTTGTCTTGGTAAATCGCCTGGTTTCGTGTATTTTTCTTTTTATCATGTATTCTTAATAACTACTTCCTATAACTGTATTGCGGGCTGAGGTGCCCTTTAGTATAGCTTTATGCTTATTCCTCCTGTTATCTGCTTCCTGATAAGTTGCCCTTTGTAATTTCTGCATTTTATTTCCCTTTTATTTATTTTTTTAAGATATATTTTTATTGATTTCAGAGAGGAAGAGAGAGATAGGAACATCAATGATGAGTGAATAATTGATCAGCTGCCTCTGGCATGGCCTCCACTGGGGATGGAGCCCACAACCTGGGCATGTGCCTTTGACCAGAATCAAACCCGGGACCCTTCAGTCTGCAGGCCAACGCTCTATCCACTGAGCCAATCTGGTTAGGGGTATTTCCCATTTATTGTAAAACATAGTTTATATAAAGCTATTTACCATTAACTTTTCATTTTTTTAATAAACGGTATTTTTGTTATTTTTCTAAGTTATTAACTTTTGAGACATCCTTGTTAACTTCAAAAAGTTAGTATCATTTAATATCCACACAGTTGCCTCTTCAGTAAGATTCATTAAGAATACTTCTTCAAGCCCAGCAAGCGTGGCTCGGTGGTTGAGCGTCGACCTATGAACCAGGAAGTCATCACGGTTGAATTTCCAGTCAGAGCATATGCCCAGGTTGCAGGCTTGATCCCCAGGTGTGGGGAGTGTAGGAAGTGGCCCATCACTGATTTTTCTCATCATTGCTGTTTCTCTCTCTCCCTCTCCCTTCTCTGAAATCAATAGAAATATATTAAAAAAAAGAAAAAGAATACCACCTCTTCAATAGATTTTTCTGATGACCGGTTCCTTTCAGGGAATGGTTTCAGTGAAAAATAACTGACTGCAGTCTTTCATATATTTATTTAGTTGCAATTTCAATTTTATTCTAATGATAGTAAAATTTTCTGATTCATCTCCATTGTTTGCCTAAGATTTGCAATCCATTCTACCAGAGATTATTCTCCAGTACCGAAGCCCTCCCACCCCCTACCCCATACCTAGTACTGGATAAATCTGACAGAATGAACCTATGTATAATCTCTGGGTGGTCTTGATTCTCTCGTTCAGCTGCAGCCTCCAAGCACTGGTAACCGTCAGATCTTTGTTATAACCTGGGCCAGCTCCTTTCTGAGCTAAAGACTCAGATACCACTTTGCAGCCAGGTCTTCACTGGCTGCGGGTCCGGACATCTCCCACAAAGCCCTCCCAGAATCCATTTTCTTCTTCTGCCCTAAGAACAGATGGGCTTTCTTGGGTTGGAGAAGCAATGAAATTCCCATTTTTCCCAAGTTCATGGGAGCCAACCAAATAGATTTTCTGTCCCCCAGTTCCAGAAGTGGGTCCTGGTTACCTCTAGCCAATCAGTAAAGCTGTTATCCCATCATTGCTTCATCAAAGGGCTTGGGCTCTCATGGACCGAGGAGGAGAGGAGCATGGAGATCTCCGTTTTATCCTTAACACCACAAGGGGAAGGCAGCCTTTGGTGAATGCCGCGTTGGGAGAAACCAGATCCTTCATGACATTGTTGGGCCACTGAACCAAACCATACCTGAGACCTTCCTCTTGGGGCTGTTCGGTTTCCTGAGCCAGCAAATCACCCGTTATTGTTGGAGGATGAGGTGGGTGTTCTGTTCCAAGGCCTCCTACGTGACACGCCACACTCCTTCATCCCATCGAGCGAATGAGTGGGTAACTAGCCTCTGTCTCCAGTCTATTCTCTTCACCTTGGTGGCTGTGTTTAGTGTGGACCACCCTCTTCTGGACCTGACACCAGCTTCCTGAGGAGAGCCCTCCTTCCTGCTCCCTTCAACAGCAGTTTGGGAAGCCGAGCAGAGGCACAACGAGCTGTCTGTAAATGTGTTTATGTAAAGAGAAATTCAACGAACACTTCAAAAGATCCTACAAACCTGGTAAATCCTATCACCTGTTGAGGGTTGAATGGTGGGTCCTAAACCCCTGGTACCTGTTAATGACCTTATTTGGAAATAGGGTCTTTGCAGATGTAATGATGTCATATCGGATTAAACCAAATGACTAGTGTCCTTAGAGGAGAGGAAGATTTGGAGACACAAACACTGATGAAAGAAAAACTTATGTTGGTTTAAGTCACCCAGTTTGTAGTGCTTTGTTACAGCAGGTTTAAGAAACTAATATACTGCCCAATGCAAAAGACTAGACTAGTGGTTCTCAACCTGTGGGTTGAGACGCCTATGGGGGTCGAACGACCCATTCACAGGGGTCGCCTAAGACCGTTGGAAAACACATATGTAATTACATATTGTTTTTGTTTTTAATCACTATGCTTTAATTATGTTCAATTTCTAACAATGAAAATACATCCTGCATATCAGATATTTACATTACGATTCATAACAGTAGCAAAATTACAGTTATGAAGTAGCAACGAAAATAATTTTATGGTTGGGGGTCACCACAACATGAGGAACTGTATTAAAGGGTCGCGGCATTAGGAAGGTTGAGAACCACCGGACTAGACAGTAGTTAAAAACTACTATTTGTACACACACACACCTATTTGTGAAAAATCTGACAGTTTGGTGAGATTGGCCAAACAATTCTAAATCCTAAAATGTGGCCCAAAAAGAGGTGTTCTGGAGACTTCTAACTTGTCAGTCCCAACAGCTAATCCTTTTCTCCCAGCGAGCCCAGGCCTTTACCTCATCTAGTTTCCCCACCAGACCTTGAGCTCCCGCTCTGTGCCTCCCACAAACATTTACCGAGGAAGGAAGCCCGCTTCAGAGCCAGGCAGAGCTCGATCTGGCGATGGTAGACGTTAATTTATCCCTCAGCTGTGCGGCCGTTTCCTCCGGGCCCTCTTCGCGGGGGCGTTGGGAGCATTTCGCTCCATCTCCAGCATGTAGCTCCATCTCCCCGGTTATGCCCTAGGCCAGAGGCTGACCCAGCTTCCTCTGCTGGACATAGGGGTCAGTGAAGGGTGGAGATGGACTGCGGGCTCCCTGCGGGGGACTCAGAAGGCCAGCAGCACGTGGGGAGGTGCGGGGGCACGAGGGGAGGGTGTGTGCCCACCGGGCGGGGTCAGAGGGCAGGTACACCCGGCCAGGGATTCCTGTGAAGTCACAGAGGGTGACACCTTGGCCCGACCCTGAACGCCTGGGGGCGTGTCCGGGAGAGGCGGGCGCGGGATTGGCCAGGCCAAGAGCTGTAGCGGGCACGTGGGCGGGGAGCGAGGTCGTCTCCAGGGAAACCCGACGCTGTTGGGCTCCAGCACTGTGCCCAGTGGAGACTGGCCAGCGGGTCTGCGCTGCTGGCTGACCTGTTGTGGTCGCTGTGAGCTCTCCGAGCCTGGTGCGACCCCGTGGCAGGGGCGCGGTCGGGATCCCGGCGGGGCAGCAGCGAATTGCGGTGAGCCGTTTGTGTGTGTGTGTGTGTGTGTGTGTGTGTGTGTGTGTTGGGGGGGGGGGGGATTGTCGCTGAGCTCCACTGAGGCGGCGGCGGGGGCTGCACGTGGTCTCACGCTTCTGAGGAGGAACAGAGAGGAAATTTGAGACCCGACTTGCGTGTTAGGCTGTGAGTTCTGGGTCGCAGCTGGCTCCTGAGGACCCCGGGGGAATGGAGGGTACTCAGCTGGCGCCGGACTGACCTTGCCACTTGTGGCCGTAGGAGGGTGGCCCCACCGGCCCTTCCTGTGGTTTTCACCCCACGGAAGGGACAGGAGACCCTCGGAGCTCTGGCGAGGATTTCCTGGAGGTTCTAACAGGATGGGTGGCCTTGGACCAGGTCCGGTTTGGGGAAGGGGCGGTTCCTCTGAGGCCAGTGGGCGGTGGGTGGTCAGTGGGCACTTACCAGGAGCCCTGAGAGCTACTGTGGGTCTCCGGGTTTGCTTCCAGGTTCATAGACGAGAGACATGGAAGGTGGTTATTCCTCAGACCAGCTGGAGAGGAGAGGCAGCGAGCCTACTTCCTATGAGGATTCCCCGGGGACCTTGGAGAGCTCCAGCCTCTTCACCAAAAGGTAGGGAGGTCTGCGGCCAACGCTGAGGACCAGACTTAGCTGAGATCCAGCTTTGGGGCAGGTGTTAAGAAATCGCTAAAAGTTATATTATCCCTCAAAAATCTAGTCTCTGGAGAAATAGCAAAACCCCAATCTTGTATCAACAGCCACTGAGGAAATTTACCATAATGGGCAACTGGGCCCCAGAGCCTGATCTTTGCACCTTCTGTCTAGCGGCTAGACCAGGGGTGGGCAAACTTTTTGACTTGAGGGCCACAATAGGTTCTTAAACTGGACCGGAGGGCCGGAACAAAAGCATGGATGGAGTGTTTGTGTGAACTAATATAAATTCAAAGTAAACATTATTACATAAAAGGGTACGGTCTTTTTTTTTTTTTTTTTAGTTTTATTCATTTCAAATGGGCTGGATCCGGCCCGCGGGCCATAGTTTGCCCACGGCTGGGCTAGACTCTAGCCTGCCCATGCTGGGCTTGTCTGTCACCTCACAGCCTTAGGGCATTTGCTTTACACCATGGGGGTCCCAGTCCCAGGTTGGCATAGTGTCTTCACAGGGTGTTGATGTGAGAGCTGACACTTGGTAGGCCTACTTTGGGCCAGGTGCTTCTCTCAGAGCAAGGAAAAATCCACCCTCTAACCCACTGTGTTTGTCCCTTTTATGGACTGAATTGTGTCCCCCACCCCTGAAATTC